CAGGTCATGATCCCAGGGTCCTGGGATCGAGTCCCGCATCGGGCTCTCTGCTCAGCAGGGAGCCTGCTTCCTCCTCTCTCTGCCTGCGTCTCTGCCTACTTGCGATCTCTGTCTGTCCAATAAATAAAATCTTAAAAAAAAAAAAAAGAACAGTCACCAGGAAAAACCATATTATGGACCAGAAGACAAGTCTCAGTGTGTTTGTGCTCTGGCCGCACTGAAATTACAGCAAAAATCGATACCAGGAAAATATCCAAATATTTGAAAATGAAATGACAGGCTCCCACATACGCAGTAAATCAAAGAAGAAATTGCGAGGGAAATGAGAATGGAAAAACGTCTAACTGAATGAAAATAAAAATAGCCTATCAAAATTTGGAGACTCTCTAGCAGTGCTTAGTGGAAACTTTGTAAAAATATTAAAGTCTTGATTCCTACTTCAGAGGACCTATGGACCTGCCCCTTTCCATTCTCAGTCAGCAGTACCACCATGGACAAGAACCTCATGGCCCATCCGCCTCCTCGTTCCGTGGCTGTCACCGACCCATGGGTGATCCCGTAATGTACTGGCTGGTCGCTAGTTCTCCACATAGCAGCCAAGGGATCCTTTCTAAAAAACAAGCTGAGGGGCGCCTGGGTGGCTCAGTGGGTTAAGCCTCTGCCTTTGGCTCAGGTCATGATCCCAGGGTCCTGGGATCCAGCCCCGAGTCGGGCTCCCTGCTCAGTGAGGAGCCTGCTTACCCCCTCCCCGCTCTGCCTGCCTCTCTGCCTACTTGTGATCTGTCTGTCAAATAAATAAAATCTTAAAAAAAAAAAAAAAACTGAGTTGTGTTACTCTCCTGATCTAATCTCTCCAATGGCATCTCAGCTCGCTTAAAGTAAGGCTGAAGGCTTCCTCATGGCCTACTCGGTCCCCCAGGATCTGGCCGATTGCCTGTCTGGCTCCCCACTGACTGGTGTCCCCCCCCCCCGCCATGTTTCCACCCCAGAGCCTTTGCACTTGCCATTCCCTATCCCAGGATCACTTTCCTCAGACAGTGGCCTCCATTCTCATCTCATTCAGACGTCTTCTCAGACATCTTTTAGGGGAGGAGTAACCTAGAAAAACAACCACTATTGACTAGTCATCTGTTGCTGCATAACGAATTATCCTAAAACTTGGCATCTGAAACTACAATAAACATTCATTGTTCCTTACAGTTTCTGTGGTCAGGGATTCTCGAGCAGCTGGACAGGGTAGTTCAGGCTCAAGATCTCCCGTGACATGACCGTCAGTAAGTTAACCAGGACCGTGGTCATGTGAACGCTCGGCTGGGGCCAGAGGGCCTTTGGAGTCTCCAAGTCGGGGCTGGCCATGGGCAGGAGGCTCCTGGCATGGGGTTACACTGCACGCTGGCATCTCCCAGGACTGCTGACTGTCCTCCCAGCATGCCAGTCAGCTGGCTTGCCCCGGAGCAGATGGCCAGAGACAGACAGTGCCAGATGGAAGCTCCCCTTTCTAACCCTAACCTCAGACGTCGCACACCATCCCTCCTGCCACATTCCATTCAGCAGGAAAGTCGTCAAGTCCAGTCCATAGTCAAGGGGAGAAGCATCGGGCCCCCTTGAAGGGATGCATATCAGCATGATCACAGACATGTGAAAACCAGCACATGGCACCATCACTCTCTACCTCCCCCTCTGATTTCTCCTCCTCCTCCTGCATCTCACGACCTAAGGTACCTGTCTAAGTCCTCCACTGTGGTACCCCTAGTCCTTGGGGCAGTGCCCAGAATGTAGCAGCTGCTCAGCAGACATCTGCTGCGTGAACTAAGTGCTCGGTCTCGTCCACAGTGGGGTCTGTGGGGGACTTAGTGATGTTGGGAAGGTGGTCTTTGGGGAAAGTGGGACTTGGCAAGTCAGAGAGGATGGGAACAGGGACAGGAGGGACCTTGTGGTGCCGGAGGCAGGCAGTAGAACCAGGTGGGTCAAGGTGGGCGAGGGGAAATCAGCACGAGAGCAAACAAGCTCGCATCACTGGTGTCTGAAGCAGGACTCTGTGAAGGTCCTCAGGCCTCCCCGGTCAGGGCACAGAGAGCCGGACTCCATCCGGTCCATGTCTGACAGCCGGTCCTGTTTCCCCAGTCCTAATGTGGAGGCAGGCCTTCACCGCGGGTGAACACCAGAGGCAGGCCCGTCCTCTGGGCTCTGAGTTGGCCATGGCCAAGGGGCCTGCAGAGCTTCTGCACCCTACCCCCTTGGCGTTATCGTCCTCCTCTCGGACGGGTCGCCTCTTGGCAGAATGTGTCCACAAGTGGCTCTTGACCCCAGTTCTCAGAGTGGCATCTGCAGAGAGGATGGAGATCCAGCTTCCGATCCAGCCGGAATCCCAGGCAAGAGCCTTGAGTGGTCTGCTTGGGTTTTGTGACCACCCCTCGGCCAGCCTGCCAATCGACTGAGGCTTAGGAGGACCGGGCCTGTGACTGACAGTGCCTTCTGGAGCATGGTTGGGGGGTTGGCAGTGGGGTGCAGCTCCCTCCACAGGAGCACCTCCCCAGGGGGAGGCCTGGAGGACACCCAGGCCTCCCTCTCCACCCAGGCCAGTGGCACCGCCCCAGGCCCCTGAGTCCTCCCGACAGAATTGGCTAAAGTGGATTCAGAGGGGTCCAAGTCCAGGCAGGTTCATCTGTCCTATCGGGGCACAGCAAGGCCCAGGCCCTCTATGGCTGCACCCCTCCCTTGGGAGAAGGCCACAGAGTAAAATGGAGGGCAGGTCCCAGGAGAGACACACTCAGGGGAGGGGGCCAACGTCTGGCGGGAGTCACAGCCTCCCCCCACCATCCCTGGATGCTTGGAAGGTGCACCAGGGGCTCAGGACAAAAGCAAGGGCATCGGCCACCTAGGGGAGGGGTGGTGTGCTGGCAGACTCACTCTCCACGGGGCAGAAGCAGCGCAGGTTTGCAGGCTTTGATGATGTCCTGGGCGCAGCTGCTTCCGCCGTAGCCAGCTTGAAGTTCCTAGCCTGTGAAACTAGCTCTTGGAGCTCTGAATATTTAGAAACTGCCCCTCCAGGGCTTGCAGGAGCTGCTGCAGCACCCACCTAGCGAATGGAGGGAGATGGGAGGGGCCAGGCTTTCGGGCTGCAGCCCCTGCTGAATTCTTTCCTTCCAAAGTGTTCTGGAGCTGTCTGGGCCACACGGAGCTGGCGGCCAGTCCTCATTCACCCACACAGCCTCCAAGCTCTGACCGGACACAGGCCACAGGCCACAGGCCACAGGCCACAGAAGTTTGGAGACCAGACATAGACCCTGTGGAGTGGGGCTGGCTCTGGACTCCCAAGCACCCACCAACAGATCCTTCTGCGAGCCCAGAGGGGAGTAAGCGTGTCTAAGATTGGTGCTCCTTCCACGGTGGACCTCAATCCTGGAGCGGGGTGGGGGGCCATGACAGGCTGCGGATCGGTTAGCCCCGCAGCAATGATTCCCTCACATTGAGAGAGAAGGGGTTGAGAAAGGAAGCATTCCAAGAGCCAAGCCCCTGCCTCTCAGAACCAGGGATGTCCCTGGGTGTCTGTGTTTCGCTCGGGGAAGGGGGGCGTCAGCCTGCTGGTGAGAACCACAGGGAGGCAGGGAAGGGCGTCTCCGCTTTCTACTGCTCAGAACATCACTTAGGTGTGGGGATGGCCCTGCTTTATCCCTATTGGGGGCTTTTCAGTTGGGTTTGCAGAATCCTCAGTTGCTATTGGAAACAGTGATGTCACTGGCAGGGGGCGGAGCTTCAGCCATCCTTTGAGTTAGGGAAGTGAAGCACTCTCCAGGGGTGTAGGGACAAAGAATTAGGATCCTGAGGGTGAGAGGGATGAGGGAGGTTCTGGAAAGGGGCAAGAGGAGTGGGGGCTGGGAGTGAATGAGGAGAGGTGGGGTGGGGGAAGAGTAGAAGCAGGGGTATGGGACATCTACCCTGGCACACACCTCACCAGAGCAAGCACTTTCTGATGTCTAACCTTGGTCATATCCACTACAAACACAACTCCCTCTGGCCTTGGCTTCTCCGTAACTGATTTGGGTCCAGACCCCCAGACTCTCCTGGAAGATCCAGGTCAACGTGGGGAGGCAGCCACTGTCACCCTTTCTATTCTTCTCAACCCTCTGGCGGGGGGGGAGGGTCCAAATCACATGGCCAGGCAGATGGGGTTTCTCCCTCATTTTGAGCCTTTTGGAGAGGGGAGTCTAATGGTCCCTCCCCCAGAGGCATGGCTTAGGGCCTCTCCACACCCCCAGGTCTCCAGCCAGCAGAATCAGGCCCCGAAATATGGTTGACTATGCGTGAAGTCTCGTGCACGCGCGTGGGCACACACACACACACAAACTGCCAGGACACATTTGGTCATGTTAAAAGACATGCCAGGCAGCTGCAGTGACACGAACCCCACGAACCTCTGTGAACTCATCTCCCTGCGGCCCACGTCCAGCGACCCCTCCAAACACACCTGCGCGCACACGCACGCTCGCGCCCAGCCCCCCCTCGCGTGCTCTGTTAAATGCTCGCACCAACGCAGGCGCACACTCTGGCGCGGGAGGCGCCCCTCCGTATTGGGAAGCGGGGGCGGCGGGAGGAGCAGGAGACGCCGGCCCCGCTCGCGGCTCCGCAGCTGCCGCGGTCGCCGCAGCGCCGGGACCAGGACCAGGACCAGCGAAGCCCGCGGAGGAGCCGCGGCTGCGGCGTCTTCTCCGCGCCGGGCGCCTGGAGCAGCGCCGGGACCCGCTTCAGCACCGCGGACAGCGCCAGCCGCTCCGCCCAGCGTGGGACCCACGCGCGCCCGGCACCCGGCCCCGCGGCCGCCGGCTCGGTGGCCCTCTTCCCTCCCGCAGACCCCGGGGCACTACGGCTCCGCGGGAAGACGTGGCGTCGTCCCCAGCCCGCGGGACCGGGCGCGCGCAGGACGGCCGGGACACCCCGCTGGGGATGCACACAGGGCCCCGTGTTCGCGCTGCCCAGAGCTAGGGCTCTCCCCGGAGCCCATGAGCACCATGCGTCTGCTGACACTCGCCCTGCTTTTCTCCTGCTCCTTCGCCCGCGCCGCCTGCGACCCCAAGATCGTCAACATTGGAGCTGTGCTGAGCACGCGGAAGCACGAGCAGATGTTCCGTGAGGCCGTGAACCAGGCCAACAAGCGGCATGGCTCCTGGAAGATCCAACTCAATGCCACCTCTGTCACCCACAAGCCCAACGCCATCCAGATGGCCCTGTCGGTGTGCGAGGACCTCATCTCCAGCCAGGTGCCCACCATCCCCCACCAGGGCTCCCCCCCAACCCCGCTTACCCCTCCCCCCACACCTTCCCACCTTCCTCCCTCCTCCCCCCTCCATCCCTCCTACTGTCCCAGTTTCATCCCACTCTTTCCTAGCCCTCTTAAGAGAGGACCCCTATGCCAGCTGGCTCCTGCTGGAAAGGGCTGGTCTCACTAGCAGCCAAACACCAGTGCCCCATCTTGCTCCCCGCCCCCCCCCACTGGTCACCTGCTACGTTGGTCAGTCCTCACAAGGTTCCAGGGCTCCAGGACTCCAGGTCCTGAGCCCTGTGTGCAGATGTGAGGCAAGAATTTCATGGTTTGTTTCATCACTGTGTCTGTGAGGGGTGGGTGTCCTGGGCTTATGGGCAGAAGTGCTCTCCCAGCCACAAGCACGCACTATGCGCAAGTCTTTAAGGAGGACGGGGCCTGGGGCCATCTTTGTCTCTGCTTCTAGACCTCCTTCCCTTCCTCTCCCCTTCCCCCACCCATGGGTTTGACTGAGATGGGAAATGGCCCAGGTGTTGAAGCAGGGTGTTCTGGAGGGTGGGAGTGGGGACTGTGCTTGTGGGAGGTGTCAGGGCACAGCGGGGGAGCTGCTGACAGCCAGCGCTGCGGGGGAGGACATGACTCCTAGGATTTTGCCTGTCGGAGCTGTCCGCCCCTGTGCCGTGCTGCCTGCTGAATCCCAGTGAATCCACGGGAGCACTGCAATGCAGCCTTTATGTAAGCGCCAGGCTGACGCTGGGCCGAACGAGCGCTCACCTGACAGACACCCCACATCTGTGGGCATCGGCGGGCAGGCACACTCACAGGTGCACGCATTCACGCCTGTGCTCGTGCACACAGACGCTTAGACTTGCACTAGCACACGCTCACGTACATCGGCATCACAGTGGACTGCACACGCTCACTCACACCCACCCGCCCAACACACAGGCACACCCACGGACACCCACACTCTGGGGCCACACAGTGCTCAGCACACCCAGGTGCACATGCTCACACACAGATGCCATCATGCACACGCATACACACACGCGCGGACATGTTGGGTGTACGTTTACACACACATGTAGTCCAGCACATACCTGTGAACATCTGCCTGGTCAGACGCCCACGCAGACACAGACTGGGCACTTTTGGGTGCAGACTGGAGGTGAGGGCCCGGGGAGGAAGCGCCAGTCCAGACAGCTCCCGCTGCAGAGGCTAGGGGCTGAGCTTTCTCAGGGATCTCCCCCTCCCCACCTCGCAAGCCACCTCCCTGCTCCCAGCCCCGAGCAGTAGAGATAGGACTGGGGGAAGCCTTTGCGGCCAGCAGCTTAGGTCACGTGTCCCATCTGGGATGAGGGAGAAACGTGAAGAAGTGGAGTTAGAGAATCCAGGCAGAGCCCTTTCTGGGGACCCCTCCTCCCACTCCCAGTTACCCTGTCTGTGAGCATTGTTCCCTCAGAGAACAGCCAGTGCCAGGAGCAAAGGTGAGGGCAGCAGCTGCCCCTCCGTGAGCACACCCGAAGGGCAAGGGCTCTGCTAGCGTGGCAGTGCAGGAAGAGGTAGGCCCTGGGGCTGTGATGGGAAGGCGGAGTTGGGACAGACACGGGTCCTTCTAATGTGAGGCCGGCAGGAAATTGCCAAACCCTTGGCTCCAGCCACCCCCCTTCCCCTGCCTTGGAGGACTGAGCCACTGGCTTCAAACCTGCCCGCAGGAGCTGGCCGTGGCCTGGGCAGGAAGGCTAGGCTGCACCCCTACCCCGGCACCTCCCTTCCCTTCCTTGAGGATTAGTCGGTGCTCAAAGTCAGGACTGGGTCTTGTTCAAACCAGGCTGAGCTCAGCCGGGCCCTGGAAGAAACTGCAAAAGGACTGAGGGCTCCGCGGCTCCTTGCCCGGCTTCTCCCGACAGAGCCCAGTCTACAGCACTAGACAGAGACGTTCCAGGGCAGCTCTCCGTTTCGGGAGCCCTGGCCTCCGCACCCAGGAGGAGGGACAGTGCGTGGCACGGGTGAGCTGGTCAACATGCGGCAGGACCGACCACTCTAGCCACCCCATGGGGCAATGTGCGGCTCCAGGGACATCCCAAGAACAGTCTTTGTCCTTCCTCTCAAGGTCTGAATACACACCCCAAGGCAATCCCTCCAGTGAAAGGAGGTGAAGGCAGGCCCCACCAGGGAAAGTACGGGGAGGTCCATCATCCCCTTGTGTGTCCTGTCTGCTCCCTGGAGTCTTGCTCTGCCTCTGCCTCAGCCTTCAGTCGTCCTCCTCTTTGAGGGTGGTTACAGGGTCTTGTCCCCCTGCCGGGGGTGCGTGCCCCTTGGGCAGCACGTACGCACACACAAGGCCCCTGGACTTCCCCAACCTGGCCTGCTGAGTTCAGCCTCTGCTGCTCCTGGGCAGCCAGCTCCAGGGCAGTGCCCATCCCACCTTCACCCCCACCTTGAGCTGACACTGTCCCCTGTGTCCACAGGTCTACGCCATCCTAGTTAGCCACCCACCTACCCCCAACGACCACTTCACTCCCACCCCCGTCTCCTACACAGCCGGCTTCTACCGCATCCCCGTCCTGGGGCTGACCACCCGTATGTCCATCTACTCAGACAAGGTAAGCCTGACCACTCCATGGGGACCCAGCTGGCTCTGTTCCTGTGTTCAGACCCAGTGGCTGAGTGCTGCCGCCCAGGGCCACTGGCAGCTGCCCTGGGAAGGGGGGCAGGGTGGAGGCACGGACGTGCTCAGACCATGGGCTCTGGGCTCGAGGAGCAGCAGGATGAGACGAGAGCTCATGCACTCACGCATGTTCACACACTCACACGCATACACAGAGCCGAAGACACACGCATGCACACTGATGCGCATTCTCCTAGCAGGCGAACTCGGACTCCCACAGATGCACAGCTACAAACACACCCCTACCTCCACACGAAGCCTGCGTGCACACAAACACATTCCCGGGAACGCTCAGTTGCTCTTACACACGCCCACACACACGCACACTCACACACACTCACAGCATGCACTCTTACATACCTTCACATCAGGTTCCGGCGCACACGCACGTTCCCGGGAAAGCTTGGGTGCTCTTACACATGCTCACACGTGCACACACACCCTACAGTCACAGTGACACTAATGTGTTCACCCTCCCATACTCATGTTCCATCACACACACACACACACACACACACACACACTCATAAGCACAGCCGTGCACTTATACTCATGCCCACACACGGACACACACTCCCTTTGGCAGGTGACAGGCACCAATAACGAGCCCTTGGAAGCAGCAGAGGTCCCCGCAGGCTGGGAGAAGGGACAGACGGGTGGATTTTGGAGAGCTGGAGGGGGCGCTGCCAGGGGAGGAAAAGCCTGGCAGGGGTGTACCACACAGCCATGAGGTTGTGGGTCCCAGCCCTTCCCGCTGCAGGGCACAGGTGGGAAGGATGTCCACATGGGTGCAGGGTGACAGAGGATGCCGCTCATGGCAGGAGAGGCTAGTCTGGGGTCTGCAGGTCCCGGGGCGGCCAGCATCACCACTCAGCAGCATATAGGACACTTGTGGTCCTCAGGGGGGAATGGGGGTCTGGCTGGAGCCATCCAGCCCTGGAGCAGCAGCTGGAAGAGTCAAGAGGTCACCGATTTGGTATCCCATAGAGGCGGGGAACTCGTTCTAGGTCACACAGCTCTCCCACAGCGTCTGTCCATGGTCTGGGCACAAGAGCTGGGGAAGCCGAGAGCCACCAAGAGGCTGGGAGGGCCCCAAAGCCTCCTCCAGACCTTGGGCTCCCTGCAGACAGATCAGGAAGGATCAGACGAGGCGCCATGTGCTGGGGGCTTCCCGGTCTCCCATCCTCTCCAAGTTCATCTTGCCAGGAGCTCACAGTTCTAGATAAAGCTTCCTAAGGCATGGAGGTCATCCCAGCTGGGGCCAGGGAGGTCTGGGGAGGTCAAGGATGGGTCTGTCCAGAGGCAAGGGAAAGTAAGCCCAGAGCCAAAGTTTCTCCAGGAGGCCCCCAGGGGAAGACACCCTCCTCAAGAGCCTCAAGCCTCCCGGTTGGAGGCCGGAGCAGCAGCCCCTTCCTGAGGCTCTGGAAGCCCCAGCATGTAGCTGAGGCGTCCAGACTGTTCTAGTGCACTTAGCCTTTGGCTGAAGACAAGTGGGGATCCTGTCCTGTGCCCTCCAACCTCCTTAGCTCTCTGACACCAGACCCCTCATATGCAAGAGGAAGGAACTGTGCTCTGCCCAGGAAAGCGGCTGGGAGGAGGCGCCCTGTGCCAGGGCAGAACCGTAGCCCAGATTCAGATTGCAGCCCAAGTCCCTGGTCCAGCGTGAGGTCAAACCTAATGACCTAACCTCACAAGTCCGCCCTGGCCCCACTCATGGTCCCAATCCACTGCCAGTCTGTGCCCAGCACACAGATTGCAAAGGCCTGGGTCAGAGCCAGCCCAAGACCCTGACTACAACCCCCTTGCTGCCGCACTGACAAGTGGGTGAGGGCTAGAGGCAAAGGGGCCTTCTTGTGCTCAGGTTCCAAGGCACTGCCCCCAGGCCACAAAGAGGGAGCAGGTGGGAAAATGATGTGGTCATCTCAGATGACCACAAGATCAGCATGGGACTAGCGTTTCCTGGGTAGACATGGAGGAGCAAGACCGAGGAGGGCAGAGCCTGCTGTGCGCTCCTGTCCCATCGTGCCCTGTGCTGGCTGTTTCAGGGACATACAGAGTAGGGAGCGTCAGCAGGCAACCACCTCTGGACTTGCAGACAAGAAGTAGTTAGCCCCAAATCAAGACTTCTGGCAAACACTACGGTTCTGCGGATTTGGGAAGGAGCCCCGTGAAGCCCCAGTGGGGATCTCTGAGAGGGGGAGGCCGCCAGGGAGCAGGGGAGCTCAGCCCAGGGACAGTCCCCAGGACCTCATGTCTGTCCCGGAGCTGCTGGGCAGACTGAGGAGCTGCGGTTTCTCAGACCCGAGGGCGTGGGGGGAGGCAGCAGTGGGGGCGGGGTCCCTGACTCTGACAGGTGTCCCGGGTGCTGTGAGGGTAGAGCTAGGAGGAGGCAGGATCCCCGGGGTGTGGGGTCTGCTTGGTGGGGAGAGCGCCCCCCACCCTGCGCGCTCCCCTCCCCCGCCGCGCGGCCCCTCAGCCCCGCCCCCCGTCCCGCAGAGCCCCTCAGCCCCGCCCCTGTCCCCGCAGAGCATCCACCTGAGCTTTCTCCGCACCGTGCCGCCCTACTCCCACCAGTCCAGCGTGTGGTTCGAGATGATGCGCGTGTACAGCTGGAACCACGTCATCCTCCTGGTCAGCGACGACCACGAGGGCAGGGCCGCGCAGAAGCGCCTGGAGACGCTGCTGGAGGAGCGCGAGTCCAAGGTGAGCCCGGGCGGCGGGCGGGCGGCGCAGCAGGAGCCGCCGAGGCGCCGCGGCGGCAGGAGCAGGAGCCGCCGGCCTGTGTCTGTGGCCCGTGTGTGACACCCTCTCTTTCCATCGTGCATGGTCAGCACCACCACGTCTGGCGAGCGCCCGCCCCGGCCTGTTCTCGGCTCATTTCACTCGCTTTGCCATTAGTCCGAATCTCCTTCGTGTCAGTCCCTGCGGGGCGAGGGCAGGACCACCTGGAGCTCCGCAAACACCCCACCCCGCCCGCCGCCGCACCCCTCCGCACGGGGCTGCGGGGCCCACCCCCCACAAAGTCCCCCGGCGCCGCCCGGTGTGGCCCCGCCCCCCTCCCCCGCGCAGTCCCCCGGTGCCGCCCCGCGTGGCCCCGCCCCCTACCCGCCCCTCTCCCCCCTCCCAGTCCCATTGGCCTTAGGGCCGCAGCAATCGTGCCCCTCCCCCAAAGGAGCCCGTACTCTCCCTCCCTGCATTCCACGACCTCCCCTCCCCGGCCACCCTACCCCCTCAGCCGCCCATTGTCCTCACCAGAGCTCCTTCACGGACATCTGCCGCCCCCTCCCCTCGGCCTGGGCTCTCCCCCCTTCAGGCCTCCACTCCCCCCCACTGAGCCCCGAGGCTGTCGCCCCCCCCACTCCCCTCGTGAGGCTGGGATCCCTCCCGGCTCTGGATACACTCAGCAACAGCCCCAGCCCGGCTCCCACTCCGGGGGAGCGCAGAGAGAGCAGAGGGGCAATTTATGGGGGGTCCAGGTGACCCCTGGCCCCTTCCTTGCCCGCCCCCATGGCCAGCTTGAGGAGGCCCAGGGTCCCGCCTTCACGTAGGCCGGAGCCCTGAGCGCTCAACCCCAGGGCCATGCACGGCCCTCAGTTAGTACGGCGGGGCGGGGGGAGTGGGGGAGGCCTAGGCTGCGGCGGGCGGGGAGGCCAGACCGAGGGGCTGGCGGGGAGCATGTTCTGTCTGTGAAGTCAGAGCTGGCTTCAACCAACTTAGTGCCAACCCCAGGCCCCCATAGGCCCCTGAAGGGAGTAGAGGGCACAGGCTGGGGTGGGTGAAGCCAGAGGGCAGACTCAGAGGGTCCTGGGGGGGCCCCGCGGGGGGGGGGGGGGATGGGCGGGGCCTAAAGGGGGGGGCGGGCGCCCCGGGCCAAGGGCCCCCCCCCCCCCCGCGCCTCCCAAGACACCATCTCCCAGTGCCTGGCACGCTGAGCCCCTCCTGCCAGCCCACCGGTGGCTGCACACACTCACTCACACGCTTACCAGCCATGCCCATGCGCACCCACCCATGTGCACTCGTGCTCACAGGGGTGTGCCATTCCCAAGACGATCCCCTCACACTTCACACCCTCCCCAGCCAGAGACTGCACCTGGACATGCACACAGGCCTGGAGCCCACGGACACACTCACCCACCAACTCACACATGGGCCCACACATGCCCCGGCTCACACATGCACACCCACACCCACACCCACACATGTGCCTGCATACGCGCCCACACACATGCTTGCACATGCTGACACACATGCCCGCATACACGTCTCCCTGCACACACACGTGCCCACACAAGGCCTGCACACGTGCCCCCCCACACAAGGCCTACACACATACTCGCACACCCGCATCCCCATGTACACACACACCTACACACGTGCCCACACATGCACACACACACACTGACACACATGCCTGCACACACATGTCCCTGCACACACGTGCACACACCCACACACAGGCCTACACACGTGCTCACACACCTGTGTTCCCATGCACACGCACCTACACACGTGCCCACACATGCACGCACATACTTATACACGTGCCCACAAACACATGCTTGCACATGTGCCCTCAATGCACACATGTGCCTACACACGTGCTCTCACACACGTCTCCACACACACATGCATACACACACCTACGCACGTGCCTGCACACACGCCTGCACACATGCCTATGTACGTGCCGCCGCACATGCACGCGCACACGAGTGTGCGGATGGCACTGGCCCTCATTTTCCCACCAAAAGCTTGTGTAGACTAACTTTCACACAGATGCCCACAGATGCATACCACCCTGTGCGCACAGGTGCACACACACACACACACACAACCCTGTCACACTCGCTCTCCCGTGCACATGTGGGCCGACAGGTGTACACACGCCCGTCAGTGAGAACAGGCACCCGGGCCTCTAGGGGAGACAGAGGCCAGGAGGCCAAGAGGGGAGGGACCAAGGGGACAGACTGTGAGGGAGGCACTGCTCACCCCCATGCAGCACTGCCTGGGGCTGGCCTGGCACTGCTGGGACCACAAGGCAGGTGCATGGCAGGGGCTGGGGGGGCGGCACGTGGGGCCCCAGAGGGACATGTTGGTATTGGACAGACAGGGTGCCCTTCCTCCCAAGTGTGACCTTTTCTGAGAGCACAGCTCCGCGGCCGGGAGCCCCAGCGGCCCGGCCCCCCGCCCCCAGTGCCCCGGCCCCCCAACCCCGCCCGGGCCGCGGTGTTTGCGAGCTCCAGGTACGTGCCCGTCTGCACACGCGCCGAGGAGGTGGTGTGGTTGCTTTAGCGCCGTCATTTTCAACCGTTTATAATCTTCTTCTGTGTCTGCATATTTTCTCTGTGCACATTATTCATCAGAGTAAAAAAAGGAACTATGAAAACCTCGACCAACTGTCCTATGACAACAAGCGCGGACCCAAGGTATATATGCATGGACGTGCACGCCACCCACCGACTAGGGAGCCCTGGCCTCCGGCGCCTCGGCCACGGGGCCACTGTCGGCCCAGCTGCGCCGCGCCGCGGGCCTGAGCCTTGAGGAGAGTGAGGTCGTGAGGCAGGCAGCCACAGGCAGGACAGGGCAGAAGCAGGCCGCCTGGGTGCCCGCGGCCTGCCCACCGCGGCCTCAGCCCGGGCCTGCCCCGAGAAGCAGGCACGGCCGGCCGCAGGAGGAGCTGCTCTCCGGGAAGTGCATGCGAATCTCCGGGACCCCCAGGGCTTCCTCGAGGAACCCAGGAGGGCGCCTGCCCACCCAGCCGCCCGCCTGCCCCTGTCGGTCCAGCTGCTCCCGCAGGGGCCTGCAGGGTCGGCCGAGAGGACCTCCCGTGGTTTTGGAAAAGTCGGCCCTATCTCTGCTCCCGGTTGCATTCCAAAACTCTTTTCTGTTTCTGTCCGCTGCACGCATCCTGAGTCTCGCCCACCTCCACTTGCATGCTCAGTGCAAAAGTGAGGACAGGAGAGCGCTGGCGCGAGTGCAGGAGAGCGCGCAGGCTGAAGAAGGACAGCACTCGAGGCCAGGCCAGGCCAGGCAGGAGCCGGGCAGGCAGGTGCACAGTGCGGGCGACAGGTGCGGGCCGCGGCGGCCCTAGCTAAGCTGTCTCTGGGCTCCTAGCAGCTACAGCCCGCCTCTCGCCCCTGAGGCACTAGGCCCTGCCCCAACCACCTGCTGACACTCCCGCTCACACCGCAGGCAGAGAAGGTGCTGCAGTTCGACCCGGGGACCAAGAACGTGACGGCCCTGCTGATGGAGGCACGGGAGCTGGAGGCCCGGGTCATCATCCTCTCCGCCAGGTGAGGCTGGGCTGGGCCCCGCCCACTACTTCACCCAGGCCTGGCCCTGGCCAGGGGCACTGTGGGGCTGATGCTGAGTTTCAGCTTCCCGAGTGCCATGGCCGAGGAGAGCCCCCCCGCGCCCCTCCCCCACGTACACCTGGAGACCCAGTCGATGCAATGCCCTCTACTTGTCCATCCTTTCTCTCTCCGGTCACCTGTTGCTGCTTGCTCTGAGATGGGAGATGGACGAGTCCCTGCTCTCGGAACACAAACATGGTCCAAGGGGAGAGAGATGACCCAGGACTCTGGGAGCTGGGCTCAGAGGCAAACGCCGGGGAAGGGCCATGTGGGTGTGCAGGTGAACCCAGGGGAGAAGGCCACAGCAGGGAGAGAGCCAGAGTCCTAGGACGGAAGGATTGGAGCGGCTGGAGTGGCAGTAGGAAAAGGGAACTGGTCAGGGACCTGTGGAAACCAGGCTGCAGCCGGCCAGAACCTGACCCCCAGGTTGACCTTGGAGATGAGACCCCAGCAAAAGTGTCTCTATCTGTAGATGGCTAAGTGCCCCCTGGGAAGGGGACATCCGGGCCCCTGGACTAGAAAAAGGAAGAGCCAGGAGGGCTTACAGGGACACACCACAGTCTGCCCTTTCCCAGAAGCACCACTAGACTCCCAATAGAGTGGAGAGAGAAATGGGGTCACCCGGCCCAGAGGAACATTCCCCAAATGCCGCTGTCCGCCAGGCCACAAGGAGGAAGCAGTCCTCTGAGTTGCAGCAGGTGTCCGTTCGGACATTCAGTCAACAAACCCCTGACACAGAGCCCGGTGCCCCACCTCCTGGTGCTAGGGTGGGGGGCGGGCAACGAAGGCTCCGTGGGCTAGACAGCAGGGAGTTCCATGCTTACCGCAGCTGGGAGCTCATCCCGTCTGCTCCTGGCTGACCCGTGCTCATGCCAACCATCCGACCCTGGGCACTGGGGGGAGGACTCCGGGAGAAAGGTGTAGGGACAGGCCCAGGCAAGGTCAGGGGGCTGCCCCATCCCTCCCAGGGCAAGCCCTGCCCAGAATGAGCCTACAGGGAGAGCCCCAGCAGATCCTCCCTTTTGGTTTCCCAATTGGCTTCTACCCCCTTATTCATCATGGGGTTTGAGAGAAGTTCAGGGGATTTGGCGGGATCAAAGGATGGGTGGGTGAGTGGGCCAGCAGACAGACAGATGGGCGAACGGACAGTCAGCTAACAACCAGCAGGCCCCTTCAATCAGGACAACTGACCCGAGGAGCTCATGCCAAACATAGATTTCCAGCTATTGGGCGCTTGTAAGAAGGGTGAGGTCACGTTGAACTAGACCACTCAGCCCTCCCCTTATCAGCGGAGTGGCTGCCAGGACACGGCCGGAAAGCCATGGGCAACAGCGGTCTGCAGACTCCCTGCCGCACCCAGGTCCCAGCAGCGGGCTGGCCACTTTCTCGGCTGTTTTCCTTGCTCTGTAATGTCCCATGCCACACCGCCAAGCCCCCGAGTGCGGGCTGGGAGGGGCCTGCCCTGCGTCGCCAGCCCCCAGGCTCAAGGACAGCTTTGGCAGGGGTGGACCCAGCGAAAGCTCCGTCTGGGGCAGGCCACGTGGTCCTGTGTGACAGCTGCACACACACCCTGCACACACGGAAACACACACACGGACTCTGCGTGTGCACCACATACACGATTGCACACGAGCACACACGCATCACATGCACACGACACACACACGCATCACACACATGCGGCACATACCTCACTTGCACGCGCGCGCACACGAGCACACACGCATCACATGCACACACATGCCCAAATAAACCTGCGCGCACGTGCCCAGAGGCACACAGCACACTCACACCACTCACACACACACTGCTTGTGTACACACCCACACAGTGCAAACACCATGTACACACACGCACAATACATGCCAAGCGTCCACACATGCGTACACATTGTACCGTACATATACGCACATGAGATATTCACACACACACACACACACACACACACACTATCCGTGCACATAGAGGCACAACATGGCATACACCACACACACTTCTACACAGACCAGTGCACACTTCTATACACGTGCACACACCCCATGCATATGTACATGCACGGCGCACGTGTGTAGTCACGCACACATACACACACCACATGCGCGCCACAGTCTGCGTGCACACACCTGCCCCACACGTGTACCGACATTGCCAGCAAGGCCGAGCACACACAGCAGCCGCACAGCCCCTCTTGGGTCCGCATGAGGCCCCTCCCTGGATGTTAAGACTGGAAGGGACCCTCCCCTCACAGCTGGCTCCTGGGAACAGAGGCGACAGAGGGCCCTGGGCTGCCCAGCGCGCCCAGGTCCCGGGGAGCCAGGGAGGCTAGTGGGCAGCATGCGCAGGTCTCCTTGGCCCTGGTGCTCCCCTGACACACTGGCTCCGCCTTCGTGAGGGCCATTGAGAGCACATTCTGGAGAGACCTCACAAGCCAGTCCTAATTTTTGAGCAATTTTCTACGGAGGGCAGAGAGTTCATCTCTCAAAGTTCATTCTTACCTTCCGGAGATCGTCTTTTCTGGGACTGACTGCTTCCCTCAGACAGTTGGATGGAATGATCAGGGTTTCGCCTACAGCTTTTTACCAGTGATTGCGATTCACACAGACACAAGCCCAGGCGTGCGCTCAGTCCGCTCAGCCAGATGTCGCAGACGTGAAGGTGTCGCGCAGACGGCTTCTCTGCCAGCTTCAGCGGCTGCCTGTGCGCCTGCAGACACAGCGCTGGCTTTGCTGGGCCGCCAGGCCGGAGGCTGTCCTTGGTCACGGGAGTGGTGCTGCCCGGGGCACCTCTCTGTGTGTGGCTTACATCTGACAGGAGCACGTCATGCAGAGTGAGCACGGAAGGTCTGCATTTCCTTGCTGGCTAACCCTTGAGAAAATTGGGAGCAGACCCCTTAGGGAGTCTAGAGCCGCCTCAGTTTCCAGGGTCAGTCATTGTGAAAATAACCCAGCACTCAGATGGTCTGCCCAACCCCTCTGGACCCTGCAGTAGCAAATGTCAGCTGTGTAGGCCCATCTGGGGCCGGTCCAGGCTGGCAGAGAAAGGAAGGTGGGAGCAGGGGCAGGAACCCCAGGGGCCCCCATAGCTCCACCAGACCCAGGATGCTTGTCCTGATGTCCCGACGAGGAGAGCCTACGAGGACCAGGTGCACAGGGAATCCCCTGTAAGGACACCCTGAGAGCTCAGGATCACATTTGCCTCCAAGGCCAGGCCCCGCCCTGCATCCTGCTGGCACCTGGCTCTGGGCAGCCTCCTGAGTGGGGGCAGTGGCTCTCGCTGCCCTGCGGGGGGCAGTTCCCGGGGTCCCGCCCCCATCTGACGAACCTGGAGCATGCCTGGCCCCTTGTCCTGCATGTGTGGGTGTGGGAAATCGGAGGGCGCACAGCTTGCTCAGGGGGGCGCAGGAGCATGGATTCTGGGGTGGCTGTCCACACACAGAACCCCAGGGAGAGCACTGATCATTAAATACGAGAGTCTGTAAAGTGTTCAGAGCAGGGCCTGGCACCTGGTGACTGGTGGGCAAGTGAGCAATCTGCAATGACCCCTGACCCTGCTCCCCAAGGCAGGAGGCCAGCAAGAGAGGCTGGAAACTCTGGGGGTCTGGGACCCACACCCCCTCCTCCCCACCCCCTCCCCTCCCCTTCCTGCTGTTGTGGGCGGGGTTGGGGGGGGTGTCTCCTGGCCCAGGTGTGGGCTGGCGATGCAGGCTGGTACCGGTCCCTCTGCACCATCACTGGACGCAAGGAGGCCTGGAGGTGGCGGTGGTGCTGGGCCTGTCACCTCTGCAGTGTCCCCAGGCCTATTTCCAGGCAAGGGCATAGCTGGGGGAGGGGCTGGGGGGTTGCCCAGACTCCAGAAGAGAACGTGCAAACTGAGAGCAGCCCCAGGCCCGGTGGGGAAAGGCTAGAGTCCTGGCCCGTCACCCCCCTCTGCCCCACAGCGAGGACGATGCTGCCACCGTGTACCGCGCAGCCGCGATGCTGAACATGACAGGCTCGGGGTACGTGTGGCTGGTGGGGGAGCGCGAGATCTCAGGGAACGCTCTGCGCTACGCCCCGGACGGTGAGTGCGGGTCCTCTCGGGGTCGGGTGGGCAGGGCGTCCCCACGGACTCTAAGCCCACCACACCGGCCCCAGGCATCATCGGACTGCAGCTCATCAATGGCAAGAACGAGTCCGCGCACATTAGCGACGCCGTGGGCGTGGTGGCCCAGGCAGTGCACGACCTGCTGGAGAAGGAGAACATCACCGACCCGCCCCGCGGCTGCGTGGGCAACACCAACATCTGGAAGACCGGGCCGCTCTTCAAGAGGTGGGCGGGGCCTCTTCCGGGGTGGGCGGGGCCTCTCCGGAGGCGGGAGCAGTTCTCTTGGGCAGGTGGTCCCCACGCGGACACCCGAGGGAGGCAGTCCTCTTTCTTTCTTTCTTTCTTTCTTTCTTTCTTTCTTTCTTTCTTTCTTTCTTTTGCCTTCGGCTCAGGTCATGATCCCAGGGTCCTGGGATCGAGTCCCGCATCGGGCTCTCTGCTCAGCAGGGAGCCTGCTTCCTCCTCTCTCTGCCTGCGTCTCTGCCTACTTGCGATCTCTGTCTGTCCAATAAATAAAATCTTAAAAAAAAAAAAAAGAACAGTCACCAGGAAAAACCATATTATGGACCAGAAGACAAGTCTCAGTGTGTTTGTGCTCTGGCCGCACTGAAATTACAGCAAAAATCGATACCAGGAAAATATCCAAATATTTGAAAATGAAATGACAGGCTCCCACATACGCAGTAAATCAAAGAAGAAATTGCGAGGGAAATGAGAATGGAAAAACGTCTAACTGAATGAAAATAAAAATAGCCTATCAAAATTTGGAGACTCTCTAGCAGTGCTTAGTGGAAACTTTGTAAAAATATTAAAGTCTTGATTCCTACTTCAGAGGACCTATGGACCTGCCCCTTTCCATTCTCAGTCAGCAGTACCACCATGGACAAGAACCTCATGGCCCATCCGCCTCCTCGTTCCGTGGCTGTCACCGACCCATGGGTGATCCCGTAATGTACTGGCTGGTCGCTAGTTCTCCACATAGCAGCCAAGGGATCCTTTCTAAAAAACAAGCTGAGGGGCGCCTGGGTGGCTCAGTGGGTTAAGCCTCTGCCTTTGGCTCAGGTCATGATCCCAGGGTCCTGGGATCCAGCCCCGAGTCGGGCTCCCTGCTCAGTGAGGAGCCTGCTTACCCCCTCCCCGCTCTGCCTGCCTCTCTGCCTACTTGTGATCTGTCTGTCAAATAAATAAAATCTTAAAAAAAAAAAAAAAACTGAGTTGTGTTACTCTCCTGATCTAATCTCTCCAATGGCATCTCAGCTCGCTTAAAGTAAGGCTGAAGGCTTCCTCATGGCCTACTCGGTCCCCCAGGATCTGGCCGATTGCCTGTCTGGCTCCCCACTGACTGGTGTCCCCCCCCCCCGCCATGTTTCCACCCCAGAGCCTTTGCACTTGCCATTCCCTATCCCAGGATCACTTTCCTCAGACAGTGGCCTCCATTCTCATCTCATTCAGACGTCTTCTCAGACATCTTTTAGGGGAGGAGTAACCTAGAAAAACAACCACTATTGACTAGTCATCTGTTGCTGCATAACGAATTATCCTAAAACTTGGCATCTGAAACTACAATAAACATTCATTGTTCCTTACAGTTTCTGTGGTCAGGGATTCTCGAGCAGCTGGACAGGGTAGTTCAGGCTCAAGATCTCCCGTGACATGACCGTCAGTAAGTTAACCAGGACCGTGGTCATGTGAACGCTCGGCTGGGGCCAGAGGGCCTTTGGAGTCTCCAAGTCGGGGCTGGCCATGGGCAGGAGGCTCCTGGCATGGGGTTACACTGCACGCTGGCATCTCCCAGGACTGCTGACTGTCCTCCCAGCATGCCAGTCAGCTGGCTTGCCCCGGAGCAGATGGCCAGAGACAGACAGTGCCAGATGGAAGCTCCCCTTTCTAACCCTAACCTCAGACGTCGCACACCATCCCTCCTGCCACATTCCATTCAGCAGGAAAGTCGTCAAGTCCAGTCCATAGTCAAGGGGAGAAGCATCGGGCCCCCTTGAAGGGATGCATATCAGCATGATCACAGACATGTGAAAACCAGCACATGGCACCATCACTCTCTACCTCCCCCTCTGATTTCTCCTCCTCCTCCTGCATCTCACGACCTAAGGTACCTGTCTAAGTCCTCCACTGTGGTACCCCTAGTCCTTGGGGCAGTGCCCAGAATGTAGCAGCTGCTCAGCAGACATCTGCTGCGTGAACTAAGTGCTCGGTCTCGTCCACAGTGGGGTCTGTGGGGGACTTAGTGATGTTGGGAAGGTGGTCTTTGGGGAAAGTGGGACTTGGCAAGTCAGAGAGGATGGGAACAGGGACAGGAGGGACCTTGTGGTGCCGGAGGCAGGCAGTAGAACCAGGTGGGTCAAGGTGGGCGAGGGGAAATCAGCACGAGAGCAAACAAGCTCGCATCACTGGTGTCTGAAGCAGGACTCTGTGAAGGTCCTCAGGCCTCCCCGGTCAGGGCACAGAGAGCCGGACTCCATCCGGTCCATGTCTGACAGCCGGTCCTGTTTCCCCAGTCCTAATGTGGAGGCAGGCCTTCACCGCGGGTGAACACCAGAGGCAGGCCCGTCCTCTGGGCTCTGAGTTGGCCATGGCCAAGGGGCCTGCAGAGCTTCTGCACCCTACCCCCTTGGCGTTATCGTCCTCCTCTCGGACGGGTCGCCTCTTGGCAGAATGTGTCCACAAGTGGCTCTTGACCCCAGTTCTCAGAGTGGCATCTGCAGAGAGGATGGAGATCCAGCTTCCGATCCAGCCGGAATCCCAGGCAAGAGCCTTGAGTGGTCTGCTTGGGTTTTGTGACCACCCCTCGGCCAGCCTGCCAATCGACTGAGGCTTAGGAGGACCGGGCCTGTGACTGACAGTGCCTTCTGGAGCATGGTTGGGGGGTTGGCAGTGGGGTGCAGCTCCCTCCACAGGAGCACCTCCCCAGGGGGAGGCCTGGAGGACACCCAGGCCTCCCTCTCCACCCAGGCCAGTGGCACCGCCCCAGGCCCCTGAGTCCTCCCGACAGAATTGGCTAAAGTGGATTCAGAGGGGTCCAAGTCCAGGCAGGTTCATCTGTCCTATCGGGGCACAGCAAGGCCCAGGCCCTCTATGGCTGCACCCCTCCCTTGGGAGAAGGCCACAGAGTAAAATGGAGGGCAGGTCCCAGGAGAGACACACTCAGGGGAGGGGGCCAACGTCTGGCGGGAGTCACAGCCTCCCCCCACCATCCCTGGATGCTTGGAAGGTGCACCAGGGGCTCAGGACAAAAGCAAGGGCATCGGCCACCTAGGGGAGGGGTGGTGTGCTGGCAGACTCACTCTCCACGGGGCAGAAGCAGCGCAGGTTTGCAGGCTTTGATGATGTCCTGGGCGCAGCTGCTTCCGCCGTAGCCAGCTTGAAGTTCCTAGCCTGTGAAACTAGCTCTTGGAGCTCTGAATATTTAGAAACTGCCCCTCCAGGGCTTGCAGGAGCTGCTGCAGCACCCACCTAGCGAATGGAGGGAGATGGGAGGGGCCAGGCTTTCGGGCTGCAGCCCCTGCTGAATTCTTTCCTTCCAAAGTGTTCTGGAGCTGTCTGGGCCACACGGAGCTGGCGGCCAGTCCTCATTCACCCACACAGCCTCCAAGCTCTGACCGGACACAGGCCACAGGCCACAGGCCACAGGCCACAGAAGTTTGGAGACCAGACATAGACCCTGTGGAGTGGGGCTGGCTCTGGACTCCCAAGCACCCACCAACAGATCCTTCTGCGAGCCCAGAGGGGAGTAAGCGTGTCTAAGATTGGTGCTCCTTCCACGGTGGACCTCAATCCTGGAGCGGGGTGGGGGGCCATGACAGGCTGCGGATCGGTTAGCCCCGCAGCAATGATTCCCTCACATTGAGAGAGAAGGGGTTGAGAAAGGAAGCATTCCAAGAGCCAAGCCCCTGCCTCTCAGAACCAGGGATGTCCCTGGGTGTCTGTGTTTCGCTCGGGGAAGGGGGGCGTCAGCCTGCTGGTGAGAACCACAGGGAGGCAGGGAAGGGCGTCTCCGCTTTCTACTGCTCAGAACATCACTTAGGTGTGGGGATGGCCCTGCTTTATCCCTATTGGGGGCTTTTCAGTTGGGTTTGCAGAATCCTCAGTTGCTATTGGAAACAGTGATGTCACTGGCAGGGGGCGGAGCTTCAGCCATCCTTTGAGTTAGGGAAGTGAAGCACTCTCCAGGGGTGTAGGGACAAAGAATTAGGATCCTGAGGGTGAGAGGGATGAGGGAGGTTCTGGAAAGGGGCAAGAGGAGTGGGGGCTGGGAGTGAATGAGGAGAGGTGGGGTGGGGGAAGAGTAGAAGCAGGGGTATGGGACATCTACCCTGGCACACACCTCACCAGAGCAAGCACTTTCTGATGTCTAACCTTGGTCATATCCACTACAAACACAACTCCCTCTGGCCTTGGCTTCTCCGTAACTGATTTGGGTCCAGACCCCCAGACTCTCCTGGAAGATCCAGGTCAACGTGGGGAGGCAGCCACTGTCACCCTTTCTATTCTTCTCAACCCTCTGGCGGGGGGGGAGGGTCCAAATCACATGGCCAGGCAGATGGGGTTTCTCCCTCATTTTGAGCCTTTTGGAGAGGGGAGTCTAATGGTCCCTCCCCCAGAGGCATGGCTTAGGGCCTCTCCACACCCCCAGGTCTCCAGCCAGCAGAATCAGGCCCCGAAATATGGTTGACTATGCGTGAAGTCTCGTGCACGCGCGTGGGCACACACACACACACAAACTGCCAGGACACATTTGGTCATGTTAAAAGACATGCCAGGCAGCTGCAGTGACACGAACCCCACGAACCTCTGTGAACTCATCTCCCTGCGGCCCACGTCCAGCGACCCCTCCAAACACACCTGCGCGCACACGCACGCTCGCGCCCAGCCCCCCCCTCGCGTGCTCTGTTAAATGCTCGCACCAACGCAGGCGCACACTCTGGCGCGGGAGGCGCCCCTCCGTATTGGGAAGCGGGGGCGGCGGGAGGAGCAGGAGACGCCGGCCCCGCTCGCGGCTCCGCAGCTGCCGCGGTCGCCGCAGCGCCGGGACCAGGACCAGGACCAGCGAAGCCCGCGGAGGAGCCGCGGCTGCGGCGTCTTCTCCGCGCCGGGCGCCTGGAGCAGCGCCGGGACCCGCTTCAGCACCGCGGACAGCGCCAGCCGCTCCGCCCAGCGTGGGACCCACGCGCGCCCGGCACCCGGCCCCGCGGCCGCCGGCTCGGTGGCCCTCTTCCCTCCCGCAGACCCCGGGGCACTACGGCTCCGCGGGAAGACGTGGCGTCGTCCCCAGCCCGCGGGACCGGGCGCGCGCAGGACGGCCGGGACACCCCGCTGGGGATGCACACAGGGCCCCGTGTTCGCGCTGCCCAGAGCTAGGGCTCTCCCCGGAGCCCATGAGCACCATGCGTCTGCTGACACTCGCCCTGCTTTTCTCCTGCTCCTTCGCCCGCGCCGCCTGCGACCCCAAGATCGTCAACATTGGAGCTGTGCTGAGCACGCGGAAGCACGAGCAGATGTTCCGTGAGGCCGTGAACCAGGCCAACAAGCGGCATGGCTCCTGGAAGATCCAACTCAATGCCACCTCTGTCACCCACAAGCCCAACGCCATCCAGATGGCCCTGTCGGTGTGCGAGGACCTCATCTCCAGCCAGGTGCCCACCATCCCCCACCAGGGCTCCCCCCCAACCCCGCTTACCCCTCCCCCCACACCTTCCCACCTTCCTCCCTCCTCCCCCCTCCATCCCTCCTACTGTCCCAGTTTCATCCCACTCTTTCCTAGCCCTCTTAAGAGAGGACCCCTATGCCAGCTGGCTCCTGCTGGAAAGGGCTGGTCTCACTAGCAGCCAAACACCAGTGCCCCATCTTGCTCCCCGCCCCCCCCCACTGGTCACCTGCTACGTTGGTCAGTCCTCACAAGGTTCCAGGGCTCCAGGACTCCAGGTCCTGAGCCCTGTGTGCAGATGTGAGGCAAGAATTTCATGGTTTGTTTCATCACTGTGTCTGTGAGGGGTGGGTGTCCTGGGCTTATGGGCAGAAGTGCTCTCCCAGCCACAAGCACGCACTATGCGCAAGTCTTTAAGGAGGACGGGGCCTGGGGCCATCTTTGTCTCTGCTTCTAGACCTCCTTCCCTTCCTCTCCCCTTCCCCCACCCATGGGTTTGACTGAGATGGGAAATGGCCCAGGTGTTGAAGCAGGGTGTTCTGGAGGGTGGGAGTGGGGACTGTGCTTGTGGGAGGTGTCAGGGCACAGCGGGGGAGCTGCTGACAGCCAGCGCTGCGGGGGAGGACATGACTCCTAGGATTTTGCCTGTCGGAGCTGTCCGCCCCTGTGCCGTGCTGCCTGCTGAATCCCAGTGAATCCACGGGAGCACTGCAATGCAGCCTTTATGTAAGCGCCAGGCTGACGCTGGGCCGAACGAGCGCTCACCTGACAGACACCCCACATCTGTGGGCATCGGCGGGCAGGCACACTCACAGGTGCACGCATTCACGCCTGTGCTCGTGCACACAGACGCTTAGACTTGCACTAGCACACGCTCACGTACATCGGCATCACAGTGGACTGCACACGCTCACTCACACCCACCCGCCCAACACACAGGCACACCCACGGACACCCACACTCTGGGGCCACACAGTGCTCAGCACACCCAGGTGCACATGCTCACACACAGATGCCATCATGCACACGCATACACACACGCGCGGACATGTTGGGTGTACGTTTACACACACATGTAGTCCAGCACATACCTGTGAACATCTGCCTGGTCAGACGCCCACGCAGACACAGACTGGGCACTTTTGGGTGCAGACTGGAGGTGAGGGCCCGGGGAGGAAGCGCCAGTCCAGACAGCTCCCGCTGCAGAGGCTAGGGGCTGAGCTTTCTCAGGGATCTCCCCCTCCCCACCTCGCAAGCCACCTCCCTGCTCCCAGCCCCGAGCAGTAGAGATAGGACTGGGGGAAGCCTTTGCGGCCAGCAGCTTAGGTCACGTGTCCCATCTGGGATGAGGGAGAAACGTGAAGAAGTGGAGTTAGAGAATCCAGGCAGAGCCCTTTCTGGGGACCCCTCCTCCCACTCCCAGTTACCCTGTCTGTGAGCATTGTTCCCTCAGAGAACAGCCAGTGCCAGGAGCAAAGGTGAGGGCAGCAGCTGCCCCTCCGTGAGCACACCCGAAGGGCAAGGGCTCTGCTAGCGTGGCAGTGCAGGAAGAGGTAGGCCCTGGGGCTGTGATGGGAAGGCGGAGTTGGGACAGACACGGGTCCTTCTAATGTGAGGCCGGCAGGAAATTGCCAAACCCTTGGCTCCAGCCACCCCCCTTCCCCTGCCTTGGAGGACTGAGCCACTGGCTTCAAACCTGCCCGCAGGAGCTGGCCGTGGCCTGGGCAGGAAGGCTAGGCTGCACCCCTACCCCGGCACCTCCCTTCCCTTCCTTGAGGATTAGTCGGTGCTCAAAGTCAGGACTGGGTCTTGTTCAAACCAGGCTGAGCTCAGCCGGGCCCTGGAAGAAACTGCAAAAGGACTGAGGGCTCCGCGGCTCCTTGCCCGGCTTCTCCCGACAGAGCCCAGTCTACAGCACTAGACAGAGACGTTCCAGGGCAGCTCTCCGTTTCGGGAGCCCTGGCCTCCGCACCCAGGAGGAGGGACAGTGCGTGGCACGGGTGAGCTGGTCAACATGCGGCAGGACCGACCACTCTAGCCACCCCATGGGGCAATGTGCGGCTCCAGGGACATCCCAAGAACAGTCTTTGTCCTTCCTCTCAAGGTCTGAATACACACCCCAAGGCAATCCCTCCAGTGAAAGGAGGTGAAGGCAGGCCCCACCAGGGAAAGTACGGGGAGGTCCATCATCCCCTTGTGTGTCCTGTCTGCTCCCTGGAGTCTTGCTCTGCCTCTGCCTCAGCCTTCAGTCGTCCTCCTCTTTGAGGGTGGTTACAGGGTCTTGTCCCCCTGCCGGGGGTGCGTGCCCCTTGGGCAGCACGTACGCACACACAAGGCCCCTGGACTTCCCCAACCTGGCCTGCTGAGTTCAGCCTCTGCTGCTCCTGGGCAGCCAGCTCCAGGGCAGTGCCCATCCCACCTTCACCCCCACCTTGAGCTGACACTGTCCCCTGTGTCCACAGGTCTACGCCATCCTAGTTAGCCACCCACCTACCCCCAACGACCACTTCACTCCCACCCCCGTCTCCTACACAGCCGGCTTCTACCGCATCCCCGTCCTGGGGCTGACCACCCGTATGTCCATCTACTCAGACAAGGTAAGCCTGACCACTCCATGGGGACCCAGCTGGCTCTGTTCCTGTGTTCAGACCCAGTGGCTGAGTGCTGCCGCCCAGGGCCACTGGCAGCTGCCCTGGGAAGGGGGGCAGGGTGGAGGCACGGACGTGCTCAGACCATGGGCTCTGGGCTCGAGGAGCAGCAGGATGAGACGAGAGCTCATGCACTCACGCATGTTCACACACTCACACGCATACACAGAGCCGAAGACACACGCATGCACACTGATGCGCATTCTCCTAGCAGGCGAACTCGGACTCCCACAGATGCACAGCTACAAACACACCCCTACCTCCACACGAAGCCTGCGTGCACACAAACACATTCCCGGGAACGCTCAGTTGCTCTTACACACGCCCACACACACGCACACTCACACACACTCACAGCATGCACTCTTACATACCTTCACATCAGGTTCCGGCGCACACGCACGTTCCCGGGAAAGCTTGGGTGCTCTTACACATGCTCACACGTGCACACACACCCTACAGTCACAGTGACACTAATGTGTTCACCCTCCCATACTCATGTTCCATCACACACACACACACACACACACACACACACTCATAAGCACAGCCGTGCACTTATACTCATGCCCACACACGGACACACACTCCCTTTGGCAGGTGACAGGCACCAATAACGAGCCCTTGGAAGCAGCAGAGGTCCCCGCAGGCTGGGAGAAGGGACAGACGGGTGGATTTTGGAGAGCTGGAGGGGGCGCTGCCAGGGGAGGAAAAGCCTGGCAGGGGTGTACCACACAGCCATGAGGTTGTGGGTCCCAGCCCTTCCCGCTGCAGGGCACAGGTGGGAAGGATGTCCACATGGGTGCAGGGTGACAGAGGATGCCGCTCATGGCAGGAGAGGCTAGTCTGGGGTCTGCAGGTCCCGGGGCGGCCAGCATCACCACTCAGCAGCATATAGGACACTTGTGGTCCTCAGGGGGGAATGGGGGTCTGGCTGGAGCCATCCAGCCCTGGAGCAGCAGCTGGAAGAGTCAAGAGGTCACCGATTTGGTATCCCATAGAGGCGGGGAACTCGTTCTAGGTCACACAGCTCTCCCACAGCGTCTGTCCATGGTCTGGGCACAAGAGCTGGGGAAGCCGAGAGCCACCAAGAGGCTGGGAGGGCCCCAAAGCCTCCTCCAGACCTTGGGCTCCCTGCAGACAGATCAGGAAGGATCAGACGAGGCGCCATGTGCTGGGGGCTTCCCGGTCTCCCATCCTCTCCAAGTTCATCTTGCCAGGAGCTCACAGTTCTAGATAAAGCTTCCTAAGGCATGGAGGTCATCCCAGCTGGGGCCAGGGAGGTCTGGGGAGGTCAAGGATGGGTCTGTCCAGAGGCAAGGGAAAGTAAGCCCAGAGCCAAAGTTTCTCCAGGAGGCCCCCAGGGGAAGACACCCTCCTCAAGAGCCTCAAGCCTCCCGGTTGGAGGCCGGAGCAGCAGCCCCTTCCTGAGGCTCTGGAAGCCCCAGCATGTAGCTGAGGCGTCCAGACTGTTCTAGTGCACTTAGCCTTTGGCTGAAGACAAGTGGGGATCCTGTCCTGTGCCCTCCAACCTCCTTAGCTCTCTGACACCAGACCCCTCATATGCAAGAGGAAGGAACTGTGCTCTGCCCAGGAAAGCGGCTGGGAGGAGGCGCCCTGTGCCAGGGCAGAACCGTAGCCCAGATTCAGATTGCAGCCCAAGTCCCTGGTCCAGCGTGAGGTCAAACCTAATGACCTAACCTCACAAGTCCGCCCTGGCCCCACTCATGGTCCCAATCCACTGCCAGTCTGTGCCCAGCACACAGATTGCAAAGGCCTGGGTCAGAGCCAGCCCAAGACCCTGACTACAACCCCCTTGCTGCCGCACTGACAAGTGGGTGAGGGCTAGAGGCAAAGGGGCCTTCTTGTGCTCAGGTTCCAAGGCACTGCCCCCAGGCCACAAAGAGGGAGCAGGTGGGAAAATGATGTGGTCATCTCAGATGACCACAAGATCAGCATGGGACTAGCGTTTCCTGGGTAGACATGGAGGAGCAAGACCGAGGAGGGCAGAGCCTGCTGTGCGCTCCTGTCCCATCGTGCCCTGTGCTGGCTGTTTCAGGGACATACAGAGTAGGGAGCGTCAGCAGGCAACCACCTCTGGACTTGCAGACAAGAAGTAGTTAGCCCCAAATCAAGACTTCTGGCAAACACTACGGTTCTGCGGATTTGGGAAGGAGCCCCGTGAAGCCCCAGTGGGGATCTCTGAGAGGGGGAGGCCGCCAGGGAGCAGGGGAGCTCAGCCCAGGGACAGTCCCCAGGACCTCATGTCTGTCCCGGAGCTGCTGGGCAGACTGAGGAGCTGCGGTTTCTCAGACCCGAGGGCGTGGGGGGAGGCAGCAGTGGGGGCGGGGTCCCTGACTCTGACAGGTGTCCCGGGTGCTGTGAGGGTAGAGCTAGGAGGAGGCAGGATCCCCGGGGTGTGGGGTCTGCTTGGTGGGGAGAGCGCCCCCCACCCTGCGCGCTCCCCTCCCCCGCCGCGCGGCCCCTCAGCCCCGCCCCCCGTCCCGCAGAGCCCCTCAGCCCCGCCCCTGTCCCCGCAGAGCATCCACCTGAGCTTTCTCCGCACCGTGCCGCCCTACTCCCACCAGTCCAGCGTGTGGTTCGAGATGATGCGCGTGTACAGCTGGAACCACGTCATCCTCCTGGTCAGCGACGACCACGAGGGCAGGGCCGCGCAGAAGCGCCTGGAGACGCTGCTGGAGGAGCGCGAGTCCAAGGTGAGCCCGGGCGGCGGGCGGGCGGCGCAGCAGGAGCCGCCGAGGCGCCGCGGCGGCAGGAGCAGGAGCCGCCGGCCTGTGTCTGTGGCCCGTGTGTGACACCCTCTCTTTCCATCGTGCATGGTCAGCACCACCACGTCTGGCGAGCGCCCGCCCCGGCCTGTTCTCGGCTCATTTCACTCGCTTTGCCATTAGTCCGAATCTCCTTCGTGTCAGTCCCTGCGGGGCGAGGGCAGGACCACCTGGAGCTCCGCAAACACCCCACCCCGCCCGCCGCCGCACCCCTCCGCACGGGGCTGCGGGGCCCACCCCCCACAAAGTCCCCCGGCGCCGCCCGGTGTGGCCCCGCCCCCCTCCCCCGCGCAGTCCCCCGGTGCCGCCCCGCGTGGCCCCGCCCCCTACCCGCCCCTCTCCCCCCTCCCAGTCCCATTGGCCTTAGGGCCGCAGCAATCGTGCCCCTCCCCCAAAGGAGCCCGTACTCTCCCTCCCTGCATTCCACGACCTCCCCTCCCCGGCCACCCTACCCCCTCAGCCGCCCATTGTCCTCACCAGAGCTCCTTCACGGACATCTGCCGCCCCCTCCCCTCGGCCTGGGCTCTCCCCCCTTCAGGCCTCCACTCCCCCCCACTGAGCCCCGAGGCTGTCGCCCCCCCACTCCCCTCGTGAGGCTGGGATCCCTCCCGGCTCTGGATACACTCAGCAACAGCCCCAGCCCGGCTCCCACTCCGGGGGAGCGCAGAGAGAGCAGAGGGGCAATTTATGGGGGGTCCAGGTGACCCCTGGCCCCTTCCTTGCCCGCCCCCATGGCCAGCTTGAGGAGGCCCAGGGTCCCGCCTTCACGTAGGCCGGAGCCCTGAGCGCTCAACCCCAGGGCCATGCACGGCCCTCAGTTAGTACGGCGGGGCGGGGGGAGTGGGGGAGGCCTAGGCTGCGGCGGGCGGGGAGGCCAGACCGAGGGGCTGGCGGGGAGCATGTTCTGTCTGTGAAGTCAGAGCTGGCTTCAACCAACTTAGTGCCAACCCCAGGCCCCCATAGGCCCCTGAAGGGAGTAGAGGGCACAGGCTGGGGTGGGTGAAGCCAGAGGGCAGACTCAGAGGGTCCTGGGGGGGCCCCGCGGGGGGGGGGGAGATTGGCTGAGTCTAAGAGGGAGGGCTGGCTACCAGTGCCAAGGGCCCCCCCCCCCCGCGCCTCCCAAGACACCATCTCCCAGTGCCTGGCACGCTGAGCCCCTCCTGCCAGCCCACCGGTGGCTGCACACACTCACTCACACGCTTACCAGCCATGCCCATGCGCACCCACCCATGTGCACTCGTGCTCACAGGGGTGTGCCATTCCCAAGACGATCCCCTCACACTTCACACCCTCCCCAGCCAGAGACTGCACCTGGACATGCACACAGGCCTGGAGCCCACGGACACACTCACCCACCAACTCACACATGGGCCCACACATGCCCCGGCTCACACATGCACACCCACACCCACACCCACACATGTGCCTGCATACGCGCCCACACACATGCTTGCACATGCTGACACACATGCCCGCATACACGTCTCCCTGCACACACACGTGCCCACACAAGGCCTGCACACGTGCCCCCCCCACACAAGGCCTACACACATACTCGCACACCCGCATCCCCATGTACACACACACCTACACACGTGCCCACACATGCACACACACACACTGACACACATGCCTGCACACACATGTCCCTGCACACACGTGCACACACCCACACACAGGCCTACACACGTGCTCACACACCTGTGTTCCCATGCACACGCACCTACACACGTGCCCACACATGCACGCACATACTTATACACGTGCCCACAAACACATGCTTGCACATGTGCCCTCAATGCACACATGTGCCTACACACGTGCTCTCACACACGTCTCCACACACACATGCATACACACACCTACGCACGTGCCTGCACACACGCCTGCACACATGCCTATGTACGTGCCGCCGCACATGCACGCGCACACGAGTGTGCGGATGGCACTGGCCCTCATTTTCCCACCAAAAGCTTGTGTAGACTAACTTTCACACAGATGCCCACAGATGCATACCACCCTGTGCGCACAGGTGCACACACACACACACACACAACCCTGTCACACTCGCTCTCCCGTGCACATGTGGGCCGACAGGTGTACACACGCCCGTCAGTGAGAACAGGCACCCGGGCCTCTAGGGGAGACAGAGGCCAGGAGGCCAAGAGGGGAGGGACCAAGGGGACAGACTGTGAGGGAGGCACTGCTCACCCCCATGCAGCACTGCCTGGGGCTGGCCTGGCACTGCTGGGACCACAAGGCAGGTGCATGGCAGGGGCTGGGGGGGCGGCACGTGGGGCCCCAGAGGGACATGTTGGTATTGGACAGACAGGGTGCCCTTCCTCCCAAGTGTGACCTTTTCTGAGAGCACAGCTCCGCGGCCGGGAGCCCCAGCGGCCCGGCCCCCCGCCCCCAGTGCCCCGGCCCCCCAACCCCGCCCGGGCCGCGGTGTTTGCGAGCTCCAGGTACGTGCCCGTCTGCACACGCGCCGAGGAGGTGGTGTGGTTGCTTTAGCGCCGTCATTTTCAACCGTTTATAATCTTCTTCTGTGTCTGCATATTTTCTCTGTGCACATTATTCATCAGAGTAAAAAAAGGAACTATGAAAACCTCGACCAACTGTCCTATGACAACAAGCGCGGACCCAAGGTATATATGCATGGACGTGCACGCCACCCACCGACTAGGGAGCCCTGGCCTCCGGCGCCTCGGCCACGGGGCCACTGTCGGCCCAGCTGCGCCGCGCCGCGGGCCTGAGCCTTGAGGAGAGTGAGGTCGTGAGGCAGGCAGCCACAGGCAGGACAGGGCAGAAGCAGGCCGCCTGGGTGCCCGCGGCCTGCCCACCGCGGCCTCAGCCCGGGCCTGCCCCGAGAAGCAGGCACGGCCGGCCGCAGGAGGAGCTGCTCTCCGGGAAGTGCATGCGAATCTCCGGGACCCCCAGGGCTTCCTCGAGGAACCCAGGAGGGCGCCTGCCCACCCAGCCGCCCGCCTGCCCCTGTCGGTCCAGCTGCTCCCGCAGGGGCCTGCAGGGTCGGCCGAGAGGACCTCCCGTGGTTTTGGAAAAGTCGGCCCTATCTCTGCTCCCGGTTGCATTCCAAAACTCTTTTCTGTTTCTGTCCGCTGCACGCATCCTGAGTCTCGCCCACCTCCACTTGCATGCTCAGTGCAAAAGTGAGGACAGGAGAGCGCTGGCGCGAGTGCAGGAGAGCGCGCAGGCTGAAGAAGGACAGCACTCGAGGCCAGGCCAGGCCAGGCAGGAGCCGGGCAGGCAGGTGCACAGTGCGGGCGACAGGTGCGGGCCGCGGCGGCCCTAGCTAAGCTGTCTCTGGGCTCCTAGCAGCTACAGCCCGCCTCTCGCCCCTGAGGCACTAGGCCCTGCCCCAACCACCTGCTGACACTCCCGCTCACACCGCAGGCAGAGAAGGTGCTGCAGTTCGACCCGGGGACCAAGAACGTGACGGCCCTGCTGATGGAGGCACGGGAGCTGGAGGCCCGGGTCATCATCCTCTCCGCCAGGTGAGGCTGGGCTGGGCCCCGCCCACTACTTCACCCAGGCCTGGCCCTGGCCAGGGGCACTGTGGGGCTGATGCTGAGTTTCAGCTTCCCGAGTGCCATGGCCGAGGAGAGCCCCCCCGCGCCCCTCCCCCACGTACACCTGGAGACCCAGTCGATGCAATGCCCTCTACTTGTCCATCCTTTCTCTCTCCGGTCACCTGTTGCTGCTTGCTCTGAGATGGGAGATGGACGAGTCCCTGCTCTCGGAACACAAACATGGTCCAAGGGGAGAGAGATGACCCAGGACTCTGGGAGCTGGGCTCAGAGGCAAACGCCGGGGAAGGGCCATGTGGGTGTGCAGGTGAACCCAGGGGAGAAGGCCACAGCAGGGAGAGAGCCAGAGTCCTAGGACGGAAGGATTGGAGCGGCTGGAGTGGCAGTAGGAAAAGGGAACTGGTCAGGGACCTGTGGAAACCAGGCTGCAGCCGGCCAGAACCTGACCCCCAGGTTGACCTTGGAGATGAGACCCCAGCAAAAGTGTCTCTATCTGTAGATGGCTAAGTGCCCCCTGGGAAGGGGACATCCGGGCCCCTGGACTAGAAAAAGGAAGAGCCAGGAGGGCTTACAGGGACACACCACAGTCTGCCCTTTCCCAGAAGCACCACTAGACTCCCAATAGAGTGGAGAGAGAAATGGGGTCACCCGGCCCAGAGGAACATTCCCCAAATGCCGCTGTCCGCCAGGCCACAAGGAGGAAGCAGTCCTCTGAGTTGCAGCAGGTGTCCGTTCGGACATTCAGTCAACAAACCCCTGACACAGAGCCCGGTGCCCCACCTCCTGGTGCTAGGGTGGGGGGCGGGCAACGAAGGCTCCGTGGGCTAGACAGCAGGGAGTTCCATGCTTACCGCAGCTGGGAGCTCATCCCGTCTGCTCCTGGCTGACCCGTGCTCATGCCAACCATCCGACCCTGGGCACTGGGGGGAGGACTCCGGGAGAAAGGTGTAGGGACAGGCCCAGGCAAGGTCAGGGGGCTGCCCCATCCCTCCCAGGGCAAGCCCTGCCCAGAATGAGCCTACAGGGAGAGCCCCAGCAGATCCTCCCTTTTGGTTTCCCAATTGGCTTCTACCCCCTTATTCATCATGGGGTTTGAGAGAAGTTCAGGGGATTTGGCGGGATCAAAGGATGGGTGGGTGAGTGGGCCAGCAGACAGACAGATGGGCGAACGGACAGTCAGCTAACAACCAGCAGGCCCCTTCAATCAGGACAACTGACCCGAGGAGCTCATGCCAAACATAGATTTCCAGCTATTGGGCGCTTGTAAGAAGGGTGAGGTCACGTTGAACTAGACCACTCAGCCCTCCCCTTATCAGCGGAGTGGCTGCCAGGACACGGCCGGAAAGCCATGGGCAACAGCGGTCTGCAGACTCCCTGCCGCACCCAGGTCCCAGCAGCGGGCTGGCCACTTTCTCGGCTGTTTTCCTTGCTCTGTAATGTCCCATGCCACACCGCCAAGCCCCCGAGTGCGGGCTGGGAGGGGCCTGCCCTGCGTCGCCAGCCCCCAGGCTCAAGGACAGCTTTGGCAGGGGTGGACCCAGCGAAAGCTCCGTCTGGGGCAGGCCACGTGGTCCTGTGTGACAGCTGCACACACACCCTGCACACACGGAAACACACACACGGACTCTGCGTGTGCACCACATACACGATTGCACACGAGCACACACGCATCACATGCACACGACACACACACGCATCACACACATGCGGCACATACCTCACTTGCACGCGCGCGCACACGAGCACACACGCATCACATGCACACACATGCCCAAATAAACCTGCGCGCACGTGCCCAGAGGCACACAGCACACTCACACCACTCACACACACACTGCTTGTGTACACACCCACACAGTGCAAACACCATGTACACACACGCACAATACATGCCAAGCGTCCACACATGCGTACACATTGTACCGTACATATACGCACATGAGATATTCACACACACACACACACACACACACACACTATCCGTGCACATAGAGGCACAACATGGCATACACCACACACACTTCTACACAGACCAGTGCACACTTCTATACACGTGCACACACCCCATGCATATGTACATGCACGGCGCACGTGTGTAGTCACGCACACATACACACACCACATGCGCGCCACAGTCTGCGTGCACACACCTGCCCCACACGTGTACCGACATTGCCAGCAAGGCCGAGCACACACAGCAGCCGCACAGCCCCTCTTGGGTCCGCATGAGGCCCCTCCCTGGATGTTAAGACTGGAAGGGACCCTCCCCTCACAGCTGGCTCCTGGGAACAGAGGCGACAGAGGGCCCTGGGCTGCCCAGCGCGCCCAGGTCCCGGGGAGCCAGGGAGGCTAGTGGGCAGCATGCGCAGGTCTCCTTGGCCCTGGTGCTCCCCTGACACACTGGCTCCGCCTTCGTGAGGGCCATTGAGAGCACATTCTGGAGAGACCTCACAAGCCAGTCCTAATTTTTGAGCAATTTTCTACGGAGGGCAGAGAGTTCATCTCTCAAAGTTCATTCTTACCTTCCGGAGATCGTCTTTTCTGGGACTGACTGCTTCCCTCAGACAGTTGGATGGAATGATCAGGGTTTCGCCTACAGCTTTTTACCAGTGATTGCGATTCACACAGACACAAGCCCAGGCGTGCGCTCAGTCCGCTCAGCCAGATGTCGCAGACGTGAAGGTGTCGCGCAGACGGCTTCTCTGCCAGCTTCAGCGGCTGCCTGTGCGCCTGCAGACACAGCGCTGGCTTTGCTGGGCCGCCAGGCCGGAGGCTGTCCTTGGTCACGGGAGTGGTGCTGCCCGGGGCACCTCTCTGTGTGTGGCTTACATCTGACAGGAGCACGTCATGCAGAGTGAGCACGGAAGGTCTGCATTTCCTTGCTGGCTAACCCTTGAGAAAATTGGGAGCAGACCCCTTAGGGAGTCTAGAGCCGCCTCAGTTTCCAGGGTCAGTCATTGTGAAAATAACCCAGCACTCAGATGGTCTGCCCAACCCCTCTGGACCCTGCAGTAGCAAATGTCAGCTGTGTAGGCCCATCTGGGGCCGGTCCAGGCTGGCAGAGAAAGGAAGGTGGGAGCAGGGGCAGGAACCCCAGGGGCCCCCATAGCTCCACCAGACCCAGGATGCTTGTCCTGATGTCCCGACGAGGAGAGCCTACGAGGACCAGGTGCACAGGGAATCCCCTGTAAGGACACCCTGAGAGCTCAGGATCACATTTGCCTCCAAGGCCAGGCCCCGCCCTGCATCCTGCTGGCACCTGGCTCTGGGCAGCCTCCTGAGTGGGGGCAGTGGCTCTCGCTGCCCTGCGGGGGGCAGTTCCCGGGGTCCCGCCCCCATCTGACGAACCTGGAGCATGCCTGGCCCCTTGTCCTGCATGTGTGGGTGTGGGAAATCGGAGGGCGCACAGCTTGCTCAGGGGGGCGCAGGAGCATGGATTCTGGGGTGGCTGTCCACACACAGAACCCCAGGGAGAGCACTGATCATTAAATACGAGAGTCTGTAAAGTGTTCAGAGCAGGGCCTGGCACCTGGTGACTGGTGGGCAAGTGAGCAATCTGCAATGACCCCTGACCCTGCTCCCCAAGGCAGGAGGCCAGCAAGAGAGGCTGGAAACTCTGGGGGTCTGGGACCCACACCCCCTCCTCCCCACCCCCTCCCCTCCCCTTCCTGCTGTTGTGGGCGGGGTTGGGGGGGGTGTCTCCTGGCCCAGGTGTGGGCTGGCGATGCAGGCTGGTACCGGTCCCTCTGCACCATCACTGGACGCAAGGAGGCCTGGAGGTGGCGGTGGTGCTGGGCCTGTCACCTCTGCAGTGTCCCCAGGCCTATTTCCAGGCAAGGGCATAGCTGGGGGAGGGGCTGGGGGGTTGCCCAGACTCCAGAAGAGAACGTGCAAACTGAGAGCAGCCCCAGGCCCGGTGGGGAAAGGCTAGAGTCCTGGCCCGTCACCCCCCTCTGCCCCACAGCGAGGACGATGCTGCCACCGTGTACCGCGCAGCCGCGATGCTGAACATGACAGGCTCGGGGTACGTGTGGCTGGTGGGGGAGCGCGAGATCTCAGGGAACGCTCTGCGCTACGCCCCGGACGGTGAGTGCGGGTCCTCTCGGGGTCGGGTGGGCAGGGCGTCCCCACGGACTCTAAGCCCACCACACCGGCCCCAGGCATCATCGGACTGCAGCTCATCAATGGCAAGAACGAGTCCGCGCACATTAGCGACGCCGTGGGCGTGGTGGCCCAGGCAGTGCACGACCTGCTGGAGAAGGAGAACATCACCGACCCGCCCCGCGGCTGCGTGGGCAACACCAACATCTGGAAGACCGGGCCGCTCTTCAAGAGGTGGGCGGGGCCTCTTCCGGGGTGGGCGGGGCCTCTCCGGAGGCGGGAGCAGTTCTCTTGGGCAGGTGGTCCCCACGCGGACACCCGAGGGAGGCAGTCCTCTTTCTTTCTTTCTTTCTTTCTTTCTTTCTTTCTTTCTTTCTTTCTTTCTTTTTTTTTTTTTTTAAGATTTTATTTATTCATTTGACAGAGCACAAGCAGGCAGAGAGGCAGGCAAAGAGAGGGGGAAGCAGGCTCCGCGCTGAACAGAGAGCCCGATGCGGGGCTCGATCCCCGGACTCTGGGATCATGACCCGAGCGGAAGGCAGAGGCTTAACCCACTGAGCCACCCAGGCGCCCCAGTTGTCTTCCTCACTTCCCTCCTCTTCCCCCAACTCTCTCCCACCCCCGCCTCCACTGTGCTAATCGCCCACCTCACTTCCGACACTGACATGAACGCCTCGAGGTCAGTGCAGTCGCGGTTGCCTCCACTGCTCCTGGCCCCGCCTTTTAACGCTGCAGCCAAGCCTGCGACCCACCCCAGCTGACAACCCTTGGGAGGAAGCTCCTGCTCCAGATGGGGACAGGGGGCTTCCAGGGGCCCAGCAGATCAGACAAAAGAGGCCCCCAGGATGGAACCCAAGCCTGTAGAGAGCCAGGGTTGGCCAGATGCCCAAGTGGATGGCCACAGGGGGCAGGAATTAACTCGCGGCGTCCTGGACACTATGCCGCTCTGCCCATCACCAGACGCCGCCACCACCACCACCACCCCACTGGCTGCAAACACTGAGCAGCATGTGCAGAACACAGTTCTGAGGCCCACAACAGGAGCGCACAAGCAACCGCAGGTCTCTGAAGCATGTGATGTGTGCACAGACTCAGAGGCGTGTGGCACACACACAAGACAGGACCTCAGCCCTTCCTCCCCCACTTGCTGGTGAACAGGCTACTGGCTCCTACCTGGGCTTACTCCTCCTCATTTGAGAAGCAAGGGTGGCTGCTGGGAGGGAACGTCCCAACCTGCAGAAAGCCCTCCAGTAGGGTCTGGTGCTCAGGAGTCGCTGGGCGACCATAGCTGTGTTATCCATCGGTGCTGGCAGCCGGGCATGCCGTCCACCAGATGCCCAGCGTGAGGGTCTGACGCCTGCTGATCTTTTCTTCCTGGGATTGAGGCAGAAGAAGGGGCTCGGGCTTGGAAGGCCAGGGAGAGGAGCTTTGCTGATAAGTCTGCCCACGCCGCCCCCCTGCAGAGTGCTGATGTCTTCCAAGTATGCTGACGGGGTGACCGGCCGAGTGGAGTTCAACGAGGACGGGGACCGGAAGTTCGCTAACTACAGCATCATGAACCTGCAGAACCGCAAGCTGGTGCAAGTGGGCGTCTACAACGGCACCCATGTAGGTGGGGGTCATGAGGGGGTGGGGGCTGGGGCCTTAGGGTCCTGGGGCCAAGACCCCTGCGTGGCCACCCTCCATCTCATACTCCCACCCCCAGGTCATCCCCAACGACAGGAAGATCATCTGGCCGGGTGGAGAGACAGAGAAGCCCCGAGGGTACCAGATGTCCACCAGGTTGAAGGTGGGCAGCCTGCTGCTCTGTGCCAGTGTCCACAGCCCGACTCTCCAGCTAGCTCCTCGGGCCCAGAGGAGGGGACAGTGAGGCCAGCGACAGTGACTGAAGGAAGTGGGGAATGGCAAGCACCTGGCTGCTGTGGCCCACGCCCGGCACCACAGAGGAACAGGGAGAGCAGGTGCAGGGAGGAGAGGGAGGAGAGAGCCCCATGGGTTCTCCACTTAAGTCGGGGAGGCCTGTGGGACAGGGCTTTCCTGGGGAGGCGCTGGTGGAGACAGAGGCCACCCGGTGGCTCTTCAGGGGACTCCGGCTCCCGCACTCTCCGTCCTGAGTCCTGGGTCTTGAGATGCTACTTCCGTGCCCCTCATCACTCCTGTGGGTGGCCCTTGCCACCTCAGTCCCCAGGCTTCACAGCCTCCTGTTGTGACCCAGTCGAACTATCCTTTTGGCCCTGTCCCCCACTGCCTGGCCATTCCCCATAGCAGGCTGTTCCCTCCTTGGCTCTCTCCCTGGGCCTCTGGGAGCCCCTCCTTGGCTGGCCTTTCCCCTCAAGATTTCCCTTCCTTGCTCCTGTGGCCTCATCCCTCCTCCATGGTCGTCCTCCTTCAGGGCAGGCAGAGTTGTCTTCTCCAAAGCAGGTGGATACTTCATATTGAAAAGTCTGAGAGTAGGAGCCCAGTGATGGCCGGATGGGCCCGTTCAGCCTGCCAGATGCCGATGGCTTTACACACACCAGTTTTTTAAAACCACAAACATGTACTGCTTTTATGATAGAAAAACAAATTTTTAAAGAAAAACATGATGAAAGTTTAAAAGCAATAAGCTCCTCCCAGTGCTCCCAATCCCCGGAAGGGGAATGTCAAATGCTGCCCTTGCAGCAGAGACTGTGAACAGCCCCTCCCTGCAGACCCGCCCTCCCCCGTGTGCCACGAGACCGTCCCCCTCAAGCTGACCCCGCCTACTCTATATGCCCAATTCCAACATCACCTCCTCTGGGGCCCTCGTCAGCCCCCCGTGTCCCCACCTCCAGAGTCTGGGCCCATGAAAGACAGGAAGAGAGAACCCCAGCATGAGCCTCAAGGGGGCCCTGGGTTGAGACAATCTACAGGAGAGAGCACAGTGACCGCAGACGAAAGAGGAAAGAGCAAAGGTGCTTCTCCCTCCCTCCCTCTGCTGTGGAGGCTGAGGGCCAGGAGAGGCCAGGTGATCCTTGTAGGGCCTGGGGTCCTGTGCAGATTCGGAGTGGATGCCACACATGGCCCCTGTCCTCATGGTGGGCAGTAGGGGGAGGATGGGTGCCCTGGGTTGGGACAGGGAGTTTTTCATCTCTGAGAAATCAGAGAAGGTGCTGGGCAGGCTGGGCATTCCATCAGAGTCTGATAGAGGGATTGATGCCTAAGCCAATACCCCAAAGACAAGAGGCCAAGAGGAGGGGACAGTGTTTCAGGAGGCCATGTGCCTCCCCCTCCTGGGGACCCTCCCGGGGACAGCAGGCAGGTGTTGCTGATGGTGACCAGGGAAGACAAGGGGCAGGAGGGGCAGCGGCTGGAGGTGGGGGGATGTCAGGGATTTGGAGAGCATCCAGGGCAGTCTGGGAGCTTAGGGTGAGTGGTCCAGGCTGGGTCTTCTCCCCTCCCCACCGCCCCCCAGATTGTGACGATCCACCAGGAGCCTTTCGTGTACGTCAAGCCCACGCTGAGCGATGGCACATGCAAGGAGGAGTTCACCGTCAATGGGGACCCGGTCAAGAAAGTGATCTGCACCGGGCCCAACGACACGTCGCCCGGCAGCCGTGAGCGCGGGGCTCGGGCTCGGGCGCGGGGGCGGGGCGGGGCGGGGCGGAGGAGCCGGGAGCCCAGCGATGATGGCCTCTGTTGGCCCCCCTAGCTCGCCACACTGTGCCTCAGTGCTGCTACGGCTTCTGCATCGATCTGCTCATCAAGCTGGCGCGGACCATGAACTTCACCTACGAGGTGCACCTGGTGGCTGACGGCAAGTTCGGCACGCAAGAGCGGGTACGAGTGGATTGCTGGGTGCCACGAGGGACGGGTCCGAGGGGACGCAGTCTGGCTAGGGACGTGGCCTGGGGTGGGGCGGGGATGGGCGGGGCCCGGGACGGGGTGGGGTCTGGAGCGGGTGGGCCCAAGAGCCGAGCTGGGGCGGGTGCCGGTCGCTGGAGCGGGGCTGATGGCGGCCGCGGCCCACCGGCGGTACCGCCCCACAGGTGAACAACAGTAATAAGAAGGAGTGGAATGGGATGATGGGCGAGCTGCTCAGCGGGCAGGCGGACATGATCGTGGCGCCGCTGACCATCAACAACGAGCGTGCACAGTACATCGAGTTCTCCAAGCCCTTCAAGTACCAGGGCCTGACCATTCTGGTGAAGAAGGTGGGCAGGACCCGGCGGGGCTGGGCGGCGCGGGGCGAGAGGAGGTCCTAGGTGAGCTGGGGGTGGGGGGCGCTGACAGCCTGTCCACCTGCAGGAGATCCCCCGCAGCACGCTGGACTCGTTCATGCAGCCCTTTCAGAGCACGCTGTGGCTGCTGGTGGGGTTGTCGGTGCACGTGGTGGCCGTGATGCTGTACCTGCTGGACCGCTTCAGGTGAGCGCGGCCCGGGGGCCGGACACCTCCAACTGGGGGGGCGGGCGGAGCGGGGCGAGGGGGCGGGGCAGGGCTGGCCCTGCCGCCCTCTCCCGCCCGCCCTCTGTGCCCCGCAGCCCCTTTGGCCGGTTCAAGGTGAATAGTGAAGAGGAGGAGGAAGACGCGCTGACCCTGTCTTCGGCCATGTGGTTCTCCTGGGGCGTTCTGCTCAACTCGGGTATTGGGGAAGGTGAGGCCACGCACCGGCCGGCTCCGGCTCTGCCCCTTCCCGCCGGCCAGGAGCTGACTGTCCTCTGCCGGCAGGCGCCCCACGAAGCTTCTCAGCGCGCATCCTGGGCATGGTGTGGGCCGGCTTTGCCATGATCATCGTGGCCTCCTACACCGCCAACCTGGCGGCCTTCCTGGTGCTGGACCGGCCAGAGGAGCGCATCACGGGCATCAACGACCCACGGGTGAGGCCTGGCCCACAGCGGGCGGGGAGTGTGAGGTCAGCGGACCTCTGCCTTGGGTGGGCCCCAGGAGCAGCCCTGAAGCCTGCCCTCGAACCCTGCAGCTGAGGAACCCGTCGGACAAGTTCATCTACGCCACCGTGAAGCAGAGCTCGGTGGACATCTACTTCCGGAGGCAGGTGGAGCTGAGCACCATGTACCGGCACATGGAGAAGCACAACTACGAGAGCGCGGCGGAGGCCATCCAGGCTGTGCGGGACAAGTGAGGGGCGATGGGCAGGACGCGGGGCGGGACAAGGGAGGGGGACAGACAGGCATCACAATCTGGGGGATGGGTGTGTGGGATAAGTGAGGGGGGAGGGACAGGGGAGGGGCAGGGGCGTGGCAGGGGAGGGGCATCCACCCCTACTGGGAAGTGGAGTGTCCAGGCGGGATGGGAAGCACCGGATGGAGATAGAGGTGAGGTTTCCAGGTGGGCAGGACAAAGGAAGGCAAGGTGCAGAGGCGAGGGCAACCCGATCGTGTGGGGCCCCTGTGACCCCCAGCCCCACCCACAGCAAGCTTCATGCCTTCATCTGGGACTCGGCGGTGCTGGAGTTCGAGGCCTCACAGAAGTGCGACCTAGTGACCACTGGCGAGCTGTTCTTCCGCTCGGGCTTTGGCATTGGCATGCGCAAGGACAGCCCCTGGAAGCAGAACGTCTCCCTGTCCATCCTCAAGTGAGTGCCTTACCCGCAGCCTACTGCCCTTCCCCCTTCCCCAAGAGGCTCCCATCAGAGGCTAAACCTCCCCAGAGCCAGACCCTACCACCGGGGCACACAGACACTGCCTCCCGCACCAGGGTCCAGGCCCCAGCCCCGGTGCGTGGCCCACTCCAGGACGCTCCCTCCCAGGTCCCACGAGAACGGCTTCATGGAGGATCTGGACAAGACGTGGGTGCGGTACCAGGAGTGTGACTCTCGCAGCAATGCCCCTGCCACCCTCACCTTTGAGAACATGGCAGGTGGGTTTCTCCCCATTTCCCTCAGCGCCCCTGCTGGCACTGGCAGGGCTCTCCAAGGGGCCCACAGACCGGCCGGCCAACGGCTGAGGTGCTGGCTCCTGGCCCACAGGGGTCTTCATGCTGGTGGCTGGGGGCATCGTGGCTGGGATCTTTCTGATCTTCATTGAGATCGCCTACAAGCGACACAAGGATGCTCGCCGGAAGCAGATGCAGCTGGCCTTTGCAGCCGTGAACGTGTGGAGGAAGAACCTGCAGGTAGGACAGGCCACCCTCCGAGGCCTGGTGCCCATGGCCCGGCCCGGCCCCGGCCCTCCTCCATTCCCACAGGCCGGAGCACTGGCTCAGGCTCCCCGGAGCCCGTACGGGCAGGACCGGAGCCACAGCCCGGGGCAGCGTTGCTGGGGGGCACCCACAGGTGGCGGCCCCCTGCACAGCCCTGCGCCGAGCCTCCGCCTGGCCCCTCTGTCTCCAGAGTCGCCCGCCGGCACCCATTCTAGGAAGGCAAACTGAGGCAGGGTAAGACAGGGACCCACCTGGGTGTAGCACGTGAGTCCAAGACATATTCTGCCCTCGCCGCCCCATGCTTCTCCTCGGCACCCGCCAGGGACCCCTTTCCCTGCTGCCCTGCTGTGTTCTGTGCTCCATGACTCCAGCCTGAATCGGGCCAGCTGGCCCTGCCTGGCACCCCAGGCCGTGTCTGAGGGAACTTGCCACCAGCAGGAAACAGGTTGCCCGTGGGGCAGCCACAGCCCCTCCGGGATACGGCAGGCACTGGGGCCTGTGCGGGCCTGTGGGCTCATGCCGCACAGCCCAGTTCTGGCTTCCTTCATCTCTTCTCTTTCTCTGGGCGCCTCCCCAGAGCCTGTGTCCGGGGATGAAGTTGATGTTCAGAGAGGGAGGGCCACAGGGGGACGGGTTGCTGGAGCCTCAAACCTCTCATCTGCCAACTCTTGCTCTTGGGACCTGGTCACGGCTCTCACCAGCTGGCACAGGGCCATCCTGGCCATCATACCCCAGGCCAGGGTCGGAAGCCACCTCCATCTGTCTCTCCAGTTCATCTTGCCACCTGCCTTGGCCCCCTAGCCCCTTCCTAAATCTTGGTGTCCCCCTCAGGGGACAGGACGGCTGGCAGGGCCCAAGGGGTGACTCCTCCAGTGCTTGGGGGGACCCTCCTCCTTGGGACACCTGTAATCCAGGGTCACCCAAGAGCCAGGGAGCCCGGCCGACCTCCTAGGAAGAGAGCCAGACGGGACTCCCCGCCCCCGCTCCCTGGCCCCCGAAGCCCAGCCCCAGCACAAGTGAGGTCAGGCCCGAGAGCCGGCAGGAGCAGAGGCTGCCTGCGTGTGTTCGGCTGCTGGTCCGTCTGTCCAGCACAGGGAGGCAGGCAGGAGCGAGGGCCTGAGTGGCCGGCCAGGCTGGGCAGCAGCCCCCGAGGAGCAGGCGAGGGCAGGTGTGGCCGCCAGCCTTAGCTGTCTAATCACTTATACATATTCATTTTAGGATAGAAAGAGTGGTAGAGCAGAGCCCGACCCTAAAAAGAAAGCCACATTTAGGGCTATCACCTCCACCCTGGCTTCCAGCTTCAAGAGACGTAGGTCCTCCAAAGACACGGTAAGGGGAAGAACGCCCAGTCCCACGTCTCCGACTCTGATCTCGCCCCGCCCCCGTGTCTGTGTCCCGTGCATCAGGCGTGCCCGCTCCCCGTCCCTCACCATCCCATCCACCCCCACCTCTGACCGCTGTGGCCCTTCTGCCTTCATCTCTACTTGCCCAGCACATGAGGTCTTCACTCTCTCTCTAGACCTTTCTGGGTCCTTTCTCCCGCTGGCCCTCACTGGGTCCTCGTTCCCCATGTGTCTCTGCGTTGGTCCGCCCCCATGCCATGACGCCATGCGCCATCTTGAAGCTGTGTCATGTCGTTGGTCAGCCAGTCGGCCTCTGAGCCCAGGGCCCCTGGGAGCCCAGAGCCAGTCGGTCCTGGACTCCTCACCTGTCGGGAGGCCATGCCACCTCTGTTACACCCGTTTCTCCAGCCTCGCCCAGGGGAGCCCACTGCCCTCTCTACCCCCTTGCGACCTCCAGGGAGGGGTGGCTGTGCTGTCCCATCTGCCCATCTGTCTGGCCGCCAGCCCCGCCACCCAGACACCTGTCTCACGTGTCTCACCAGAGCCATGCCTGTTGCATCCCCTTCATGTGGTCTCTGTGTGGGCCGGGGCTGGGGGCCGGGCCCGGCTCCATCTGGGTGGACGGCTGGGGTCTGGAAGTGGAACAGGCCCCCAGCCGCAGGGGACCGTCAGGCGGGGACTGGGAAGCACCAGAGGGGGTGGAGCCCACCCCAGGCTGAGCCGCGGCCTGCAGAGCCGGTCACTGAGGCTCCCCCCGGGCAGGAGGGCCCTCCAGGGAGACAAGCTCCTGACCCTCTAGCCCCTCCCCACAGGGCGTCAGAGGCGGCCTCCTACGTTGGGCAGCTTGTGACCGCACCAGCTGTGCACACTTGGAATAAAGCCCTTAAAATGGACCCAGGCTTTCTAGGGGCACCCTGGTCCAAGGTGGGGAGGGGGCGGCCCAGACTTAGCACTGCCCTTGGCCTCCCTGCAGTCCAGGGCCCGGCTTGGCCTCCATCCTGCAGCGGCTTATGCTCTGAGGTGGAAATGGGATTTGCACCCACCCACCCAGCCACACACACACAGTGCACTGGAAAGGGGGCAGATCTCCAGGACACAGACAGGGCTTGGCACAGAATGATCCCAGGCCAGGGCTAAGCTGCAGGGGGCCCCGCGAGGGGTCCGTGAGGCCTGGCTGCTCTGCTTCCCAGGAGGGGCTTGGCACTGGGAGGGCAGGTGAAGAGGGAGGAGCGGGGAGCTGGGAGCACAGCCTGGGGCTTCACAGGCCCGAGAAAGTGGACAGAGCCTGAGCCGGGGCCCTGCCAAGGGGTTCAGGAAGAGACCCAAGACCAGAGAGGGGAGGTGTGGGCAGGCCTGGGGAGAGGGTACCCTCATAGACAGCACTTCCAGGGAGGAGCACAGAAGTCACACAGGCCGTAGGCTATTTTGTGAGGGCATCCTTGATTCTCCCCAATCCCCCACCCAAAGAAAACCCTCATGCCCCTTAGCTGGTCCAGGTGCAACTCCGAGACCTTTGAGGTGCCTTTCCGGGGACACAAACCCAGCAGACTCTGTCCGAGCCTCTGCAGGCACCGGGGACCATCTCCCAGGCTGGCCCTGATACCACGGGGCATGTGGGGCTGGACCTGGCCTGTCGGGGTGACTGGGGGTGCTGCCAGCTGGAGGGGCCGGGCGGGGGAGGGCAACCCAGTTCCCATCCTGTTTCGGGCTGGGCACCTGCTTGGAGGGAGGCCTGGGTGGGGGGCTCTGCTGGGAGGGGTGGGGTCGGTCCGGCCGCTACGATCCTCTGGCCCTGTCCTGTGGCCGGTCTGGGCCAGGGCAGCACTGGGCGCTCAGGGCTGGGGCCCCTGGCGGCCAGCGGGGCCAGCGGGTATTGATTGTTGGTTCTTATTTATAGAGCACCGGGGGTGGACGCGGCGCTTTGCAAAACCAAAAAGACACAGTGCTGCCGCGACGCGCTATTGAGAGGGAGGAGGGCCAGCTGCAGATGTGTGCCCGTCATAGGGAGAGCTGAGACGCCCTGCCCGCCCTCCTCTGCCCCCCTCCCCCGCAGACAGACAGACAGATGGACGGGACAGCGGCCCGGCCCACGCAGAGTCCCGGAGCACGACGGGTCAGGGGGAGGAGCGCCCCCCAGCCTCCCCCAGGCCGCGCCCGCCCGCCCGCCGGTCGGCCGGCTGGCCGGCCCACCCGTCCCGGCCCTGCGCGAGCCCCCGGGCGTGGGGGCTAACGGGCTGCCTTGTCTGTGTATTTCTATTTTGCAGCAGTACCATCCCACTGATATCACGGGCACGCTCAACCTCTCAGATCCCTCGGTCAGCACCGTGGTGTGAGGCCCCCGGAGGCGCCCACCTGCCCAGTTAGCCCGGCCAAGGACACTGATGGGTCCTGCTGCTCGGGAAGGCCTGAGGGAAGCCCGCCTGCCCAAGACTGCCCACCCTGGGCCTCCCGTCTGTCTGTCCGCCCTGCTGCCTGGCGGGCAGCCCCTGCTGGACCGAGGCTCGGACCAGAGCGGCTGAGGACAGGCCAGAGCTGAGCTGGCTGGGCAGGGCCACAGGGCACTCCGGCAGAGGCAGGGGCCCTGGGGTCTCTAAGTAGTGGGGTAGAGGGGCTACCTTGGCCCCGGAGGGGCTTGGAGCAGAGACTGTAAGCCCCGACCTTCCCCAGCCACTACCAGAGCCACAGTGGGGGGTGCAAGGCCCCACCTGGCTGGGTCACCCCGTCCTCCAGCGCCTGCTCTGGGCAGCCTCGGCTCCACCCCTCTCCTTTTCTTACCCTTCTCGCCTCCGGCCCCGCATCCATCCAGCTGGCCCTGCCCCTCCCCAAGGGCTGACCCGGACCCTCAGCAGGCAGCTGCCTCCCAGCGGTGCGCTGGGGTTCTCCGCTGCCTCTGACCCTTTCCTCCGGTGTCCACGAGGGCCGAGCCAGCTCTCCGCCTCCTCCAGCCTGCAGCCCAGGATAGGCTTCCCCACACGCGCTGGCTCGGGACCATCCTCAGCCCTGCCCTCCGACTTGTACAGGCCCAGCCCTTCCAGTGCCGAGCGCGTGCCTTCCCCGTGCGGCCCGTGCGCAGCCGCGCGCTGCCCCTCCGCCCAGGGGCCCGGCGCGCGCTGCCCCCGACCCGGTTTGTGCAGTGGTGATGTCTAAAGGAATGTCACGAAAATTTCTGTGTCGCTTGTTGACGCCTTCAGGGACCGAGAAGAAGGGCAGGGGACGGGGTAAGATTCGAGAACAGCCAAGGCCCGCTCAGGCCCGAGCAGAGGCGGCGGGGGCCCCCGGGTTCCGGGCGCGCGGTCTCAGGCGGCTGAGGACACCCGCGCGGGAGCGCCGCGTGCGGCAGGCGGTAAGCGCGGAGCCCAGCGCCAGGCAGGTGGCGAGGCTGGCGAGGAAGGAGACGGGCCCGAGCACGTAGACCACGGCCAGGTCCCACGGGCCGAGGGGCTGCGAGCAGTGGCTGAAGGCGGCGTCCGTGAAGGCGGCGAAGGCGCTGAGCGACTGGCGCCCCGGCAACACGCAGAGCAGCGTCTCGGCCTCTGCGGGACAACGGGCACCGAGTCAGACGACGGCGGCGACTGTGGCCGCGAGTGCCGGCCCCCTCCCCCGGTCGCCCCGAGGCCTCACCTGGCGCGGGCCGCGGGTGCCTGCGCAGCCAGGAGCAGAGCGGGCGCAGCGCGCAGCCGCAGGTCCAGGGGTTGCCGCGCAGGTGGAGCGCGTGGAGAGCGGGCAGGCCGGCCAGCAGGCCCGGCGCGAGCGCGGACAGCTGGTTGTCCCGCAGGCTGAGCGCGCGCAGCAGCGGGAGCGCGCCCAGCGCCGCGGGCTCCAGGCGCGCCAGCCGATTGCCTGCCAGCGACAGGGAGCGCAGCGCGCGCAGGGGCGAGAAGGTGCCGGGCGCCAGCGCCTCCAGCAAGTTGTCGCTGAGGTCGAGCTGCTGCAGCGCGCCCAAGCTCCAGAAGGCCCGCGCGTGCACCCAGCGCAGCCCGTTCTCGCGCAGGTCCAGGCGCAGCAGCGTGCCGGCGCCCACGAAGGCGCCGGGCGGCAGCGCGCGCACACGGTTGTGGTCCAGCATCAGCGCGCGCACGCCCCGGCTCAGGCCCGGGGGCACGGCGGGCAGAGCGCGCCCCGAGCAGTTGACTAGGCCGCCCGGCGCGCGCGTGCACGCCTCGGGGCAGTCCGGGGTGCCTGGGGTTCCCGAGGTGGCCGCCGCGGTGGACGACTCGGCCCAGACTGGCCACGGCGACAGCAGCAACAGCAGCATCGGCGGCGGCGGCCGCCGCGAGGGGAAAGAGGGCCTCCGCATGGGGCAGCGCGAGGAGCCCGCTGCTTGTGCGTCCGCGGAGCCAGCGGGTCTCCACCGCGCCTGCACAAATACTAAATCTCCGGCCGAGTGCCGGCAGTTCCTGTTCCAAGGCCAGTCCCGCACCTAGGGCGGGGGCGGGGCAGACAGCTAGCGCCCTGCAACGCCAGCCACCTGTCCCGGAGCTGGGCTCCTCTTGGCTCTGTGCCAGCTGCAGCGCTGACAAGACGCCTTTCCCTCCTGCCCTGGGGTACCCACCACCCTGCGCCCCACTGAGGCCTGAGCCACTGGATGACACCCACACCCACCAAACTGATTGATGCCACACGTGGAATGGGACCCCGTGAGCCCTGCTGCTCTCCCCAGTCTCAGCCCATTTCCTGCCCAGCCAAGCGACCCCAGCACACACAGTGCTGTCCCCCCAGTATAGGGGTGGTCCCATCCCCATAGTGGATGACTTGGTGGGGTCAGGAGCACAGGATGGGGGCTTGAGCCCAGGGGATAGGCTGGAGGGTGGACGGGGTACGAGGCAGGGGGACAGGCATGTCTGCCCCACCTGGCTCTCTAAGGACTGACCTAGAACCTCAAGGAGACAGCTTGGGTAGGGCACAGGCACCCGGCCAAGTTCTCCTGTCGAACACTGCTCCCTCTGGAGTCATCGGAGTTGCACATCCTGTCCTGAGGTTCCCGGTGTGGGGGTGGGGTGGACAGGGGCCCCCGGAGGCCGTGTGCTAGCTTCACAGGACACAGCAGCAGGAAGATGTGGGGAGGAGCTAGGCTGAGGCCAGGGCAAGGAGAGGTGGAAATACCAGGGCTGTGCTTCCCTGCCCTGGGGGGTGGACAGTGGGTGCCTTGTGCAGGCCCTGGGCATCCTTCCCCACCCGGGATGCGGAAGATGACCCGGGTGTATGCTAACCCCCCCCCACCGTGGCGCAGCTGCACAGCCGCTGGAGGAGAAGCCCGCAGGGAGGACAGGGCAGAAGCACTCAATACTGTTTAATTCCCCTCCCCCAGGCTGCCTGCAGCCCTGCTCAGGTTGGGGGGGGCGAGAGGGGGCGGCTCCTCTACTACAGTCACGTTTGGGGACATGGGGTCCATGGGGATGGTGATGAGGCCTTGCTCCTCCAGAGGTGGCATCATAGAGACCTCCAGGTCAGGGTCCATGACGTGAGGCCCCACTTGCACGGTGTGTAGATCCATGCGATCTTCCTGGACCCCGTAGTGCCCCACTAGCCTGCACGACAGGGGCCGGGCCAGGCTGGCAGCAGGCAGCCACCATCACAGGCCTCACGAGGCCTTGACTCCCCTCCCAGGGCAGTCCTGGGCTTCCTGTCAGTGCTCCTTCATGCTCCCAAGGCACGTGACACACAACCCCGCCCTGGGGCAGGAAGCAGGAGCCGGGCTCACCTGTGGGGTCCTCCCCTGAGGTTACTCACCTGCTATTCATGTGTCTGGGGCATGGTTCACTGGAGGGACAAAGGGAGGAGTGAATCCTGGAACAGTGGGGCTGGCCTCCAGAGGCCCGGAAGTACGTCCCCCCACCTCTCCACAACCTGGCCTGGGAAATGGCGTTCCCCAGCTCCTGGTGACATCCCACCCAGGGCCAGACGCCCCTCCCCCAGCACGGCCCTGTGGCCCTCACCCACCATCCCGGCCCCGGGGCTCATGCACCTCTTGGCTTTCATGACACCAACTGCCACGATGACGAGGGCACAGAAGCAGCTGGCCCCGATGCCCGCCAGCACCACGAGCAGGGCGATGAGGGCCTCGCGGCTGAGGCCGAGGCTGCACTCACAGTATGTTCCAGCTGCAGAGACAGGGCCCGTGCGGCCGAGGGGCCCTCGTCACCTGCCGGTGGAGGACCCCCAGGGCCGCCCCTCCCCCTGGCGGCCACCGGAAGGCTGCAGGAGGGGCCCTCGCAGGGACAGGGCTGGGGGCAGGAGAAGGCACCTGCAGCAGGGTTGAGCAAAAGGGACAAACATATCCGGCCAAGGGGGCTGCCAACCAGGCAGGAGTCAGGCTGGGGACAGGGGGCCATGTCCAGCCCCCAGCCCCACCACACACCTCTGGACGGAACCCATCGGAAGGCGCTGACCTCACAGTGGGGCTCTGAAGCGGAGGGGTGGGGGCAGGGCCTCAGCTGGCGCGTCACTTGAGCTTGGAGGCCGGAGTGGAGGAGTTCTGGGCAGGCTGCTCTGGGGTGGGGCAGGTAGGGTGGACAGGGGCCTGGGAGCCACTTCAGAGTGCCCTGCTGGATCCAGGACCAAGGCAAGGATGGGGCTGCCCTGGCCTTGGGGGATGGTGCTTCTTGGGAAAGGGGATGACACCCATGCTCAGGCCCCTGGGAAGGCAGAGACAGTGACCTAGAAAACCTGTGGGGGGAGGGGAGGGCCTGGTTCTGTCTCGGGATCCCTGGAGGCTGGGACAAGCAGGGGTCGAGGGGGACACCTGTGCTCACTGCCCTCCCTCACACTGGCTGTCCTGAGGAGGATCTCGCCTACAGCCCACCAGCGCTCAGGTCCGGGGGAACCTCCAGGGTCCTTCCACCCCCCAGGGAGGTGGGGGGCACTGCCCACAGGTCTTTCCAGAGCCACCTCCCCTGGGGGCAGCTGGCTCAGACACAGCGCATCTTCCGTCAAGCGGCCAAGCGCTGCCCGAAGGGCCCACCTGCAGGCTGGCATCTTCAGGGTTAACCCCAGCCGCCTCCCTGGCCGCCTGCACCCCCTCCCTCTTCCCCTAAGGACTTGGCCAAGCAAACCACCCAGGCAGCAGGAGGAACTGCCCCCCTCAAATGGCTGACCCCACAGGGCACCACGGGCAAGGTTGCAGAGGGGCCCCAGGTGACCCCTGCCCACCGGGGACCTCCCTGACTCCTGACACAAGTGACCCCTCCTAGGGGAGCGGTCAGGGACCAGCCAGCAGTTTCTGGCACACCTCTGTACCTGTTCATGCTGTAACCCAAGACAGCTTTTTAACCACATTTGTTCACAAACCATGTCCAAAGGCACAGGAAGCAGGAGCGCCGCGCCCGGGAGTGGACGCCGCCCCCTGCCGGGCCAGCCTAGCAGGTTTGCATCCCGGTTAGGACGACAAAGGTACACTCAGCCTGGTGCCCGGTGCCCTTCCGTGTGGGGGGATGGCGGGTGTCAGAGGCCCCAGGGCACCCACCCAGAATTTGGAGGAAAGAGGGAGGCCCCTTCTTCTAAGTGACCACAGCACAGCAGCCTTGGTGGTGGACAGAGACCAAGGGAGGGAGACACTGCCTGCTAAGACCACATGCCTAGTTTCCACCACTTTGTCCTCCAAACCCGTGGCAAACAGAATGCTCTGGGGTAAGAAGGGGAAGTCCCAGAAGAGGGTTGACCTCAGGGCCCCTGTGCAACAGGCCCAAGGAGAGGTGGCGTAGGCACTGGAAGACAGCCGGGGGGGGGTACCCCAAGGGTGTGCAGGGGCAGCAGGCATGGCTCCAGGCCTGGGCGGGCACGAGCAGGAGAGTGGAGACCCCTTCCCAGGGGCCTCTGTCGCCTGGGAGGACAGCGGCCCCAGCTAGAGCGGAGCTCCCAGCACCAGAGGCCGCGGCACTAGCCCAGGTGGGGCCAACACCCTTCTCCACCTTCTGGGACCTCTGGGGCAGGGGCAGAGACAGGCCCCCCTGTGTGTTCTGGACACAACTGGCCTCCCAGCTGCACTAGAGGCTTGACTCACAGAAGTCTTCCCCGGTTCTCCTGACCACGTGTCTGAGGGCACAGAAACTAACTTTATTGTGAACCACAAACAGCCAGCCCCTCCTGCTGAAGACGTGAGGAGATGCCCAGCTGCGCCCATGCGTCCCAGCAACACCCCTAGACCTTCAGGCCAAGAAAAGGGCTGGGGACCCAAGGGCTCCTTCCAAAGGCCAGAGTGCAGCTCGGGGCCGGAACTCTCCAGTGTGGGTGCTCCCGCCTGAGCTTCAGGCTCAGAGGTGAGCTGTCACCAGCTGGTGTGGCCTAGGGACACTTGTGTGCTGGGGCTCTGGGTCTGGAGCCCAACCCAGGTGTATAGGCCAGGACGGGGGCCTGGCCACCCATGTGTTTCCCCTCGCCTGCTCCCAGGGAGCCAGGTCCTGCGAAGCGGGGGTGGAGAGGTCAGTCTGGAGGGAGAGCCTGGACTACAGGATCGTGATGGGCCCACAAAGCCACCAGGACAGGGAGAGGACAGAGAACCATCTGCTTTACTCCGCGCTGCGGGGGCCCCGGCAGGCCCGGGGGGCATCAGCTGCAGCTCTTGGGCAGGCGGTAGACACCAGCCGAGTAGACGAGCTGCTGGTCGCGCACCTTCTTCTGCAGGAAGCCCTGCAGCTCCTGTAGATCGATCTCGGCCAGCGCGGGCCCCGTGACCACGAACATGCGCAGCATGCTGTAGATGCGCTCCAGCGAGAGGCTCTCCAGGTTGGTCAGCATGGCCTGGATGTACGTCCAGAAGAGCTGCGCGGACAGATGCCCGCCGGCCGTCAGGCCCCCCCGACCCCTGCCCAGCCGGACCGCCGCCCCCCACCGCAGCCGGCCCCCAGCCCCGCAGCCGCACCAGCAGCTCCTCCTCCTTCTGGTCAGCCTGGGAGGCCATGCCCGAGTCACTCTCCTCATCGCTGTCGATGAGCACCATGCTGTCCCGGTCCTGCGGCCGCTCCTCCTCCACGACAGAGAAGGTCCCAGCCGGCTCCTCCCGCAGCACACCCTGCTGTAGCCACACCGACATCCGCCGCCGCAGCAGCGCCACGGGCATCTTGACCACCTTGCTCAGCTCGTCCAGGGTCCAGCTGGCTGTGCGGGGAAGCCGGGGCCACTGTGCCCACGGGGCAAGGCCAAGCTTCCCCGCCCTCCACCCCTGCTGCGTGGGCCCCACCCAGCTTCCCAGAGGTCAGTAGGTGCTTAGCAGGTGGGTGGCACAGGCCCCTGGGGAGGCATGGCGGGGGCAGGCTGGCTAGAAGTCCGGGGCTCACCTTGGTCCTGGAAGTACAGCAAGACCACCGCCTGCACAGGAGTCACGGCCACAGACAGGGTGCGGTCGGCCAGCTCCACGTCCATGGTCACCAGGCCCAGGGTGTGCTTCCAGCTGAGGGTCCGCATGGCCTGGGGAGGGCCGGAGTTAGCATGGGAGGCCCGGCGGAACCGTGAGGGAAGGGCTCCCTGACCTGCCCCTACCAGGCTATCAGCAGCAGCGGCAGGAGAGGACGGGGCTCTGGCTCCCACTCCCACCTGCTCAACCAGCTTGTCTAACACTGAGCACGGGAGGTGCAGCGAGCACTGCGGACAGATTTGTCTCTTAGAAACATGTCCGCATCCTGACCCCTTCCCCCGAGTGTGACCGGAGCTGGAGAGGGGGTCATCGCAGGTGGGGCCAGTGACACGAGGTCATCTGAAGTACAAGGGGCCCCGACCGAACATGACCAGCGTCCCCTGGGGGGGGGGGGGGTGGACAGGGAGGACGGAGGCAGAGGCCACAAGGACACGGCCACACGCCAAGACCCCAAGTAAGGCCTGCAAAGCCCCTCCCCCAATGCCGGGAGGGGCAGGAGGGGCCACCCCACAGCCGTGCTGACACCCTGGTCTCCGCGCTGCCCTGCAGGACGGACGCTTTTGTATGGCAGCCAGTGGGAAGGGACGCTGCTGCAGCAAACGCCCAGGAATGGGGGTGTCCATGGAGCCGGGTGGGGGGCACACGCTTGTGAAGCCCGGACTGCCCTGAAGGGACTACTGGCAGGAACGTGGGAAGGAATGCCATGCCAAGGAGCTGTCAAACTGGAGGACGTGCGACCCCACCACGCGGTGGCTGAAGCCCATGTGCACAGGCCGGGCTGAGGGAAGCGTGGGAGGGCGGCCTCATGGTGGCCGCAAACCTGCTCCGTGCAGGAGACGGAGCCCAGAGGGCACCAGAGACCGGCGCTCTAACCCCAGAGCCCACTGACAGCTGCAGAAGAGCCCGGACGGAGATGAGCTGGCAGGGAGGGAGTGCGTGAGGGTGGACGGGGCCCCAGAGAATCAGGCAACAGCCTGCACTGAAGGAGGGGAGCCACCTGAGGCTGGCTCTGCGCGTAGTGGGGAGGTGTAGAGGCCTGGCCGGCAGGCTGGGAACACAACCATGAGGTGACCCAAGTTCTTCTACTGGCTTTCGACTGACTTGGGGCCTGCGACCCCTTCCTTCGTTCAGAAGTCTTCCCTTGGAATGCAATCGGCCCTACACCTTCCCAGATGCCCTTTGGAAGCACCAACTCCCTGTCCGCTCCCCCAAGTTTGCAGCTAGAGGGGAGCCCTGCCCAGAATGAGCTGCACCATCACGCTCTCCCCCAATTCAGATGCTACTCAACACTGGACTTTGGGGTTGCTGTGAACTTGAAGTCAGTGCTGGAAAGGTAAGGACTTCTGCGGACCTTGCTTGAATGTGTTTTGCACGGAGGAAGGACAGGAGTATCAGGGAGGGCTGGACAGTGGAGTGTAGTATGTTGTGTCCCTCAACAAGATGCTGAAGTCCTACCCCCAGTGACTCAGGACACAAGCTTATTCGGAAACGAGACCGTCACACATCCAGTTTGTCCCAGTGAGCTCATTCTGACAGAGCGGGCCCTGACCCAGCACGGCTGGTGCCCTCCAAGGAGGAATCTGGACAGAGAGAGCTGCGGGGAGAACGCCACGTGACAACACAGGCAGAAGCTGACGGATACGCCACAAGTCACGTGACGCCTGGAGCCACCACAAGCTGGAAGAGGCAGGAAAGGAGCCTCCCCTGGAGCCTCTGCAGAGAGAACAGCCCCGCTACCGACCACGCGATGTTGGACTTTTAGCTGCCCCAGAACTGAGACAATAAATTTGCACTGTCTTAAGCCCTGTTTGTGGTACTTTGTTTCAGCAGCCCTGAGACACTGACTCAGCCACTCTGGGCCAAGTGCTAAGAGTCTCTCAACAGCAACTCAGCTCTAAAGGGGGGGACAATAGCGAACCCCACTTTGCAGAGAGAAAATGGAAGCAGAACCCCCAGCTTGCCCACGTCACAACCAGCAGAGCC